CTCTTATATTTGATACACGCTGGCTTAAAAAATGCGTTTGTTTACCAACATTAATATATATAACAGAGAAAAGTATAGAATCGAAAGGATCTGAATAGCTCAGCTGGAAGAGCAGTCGCCCGGCAAGCGAAAGGTCTCGGGTTCGATTCCCGATTCAGCGATTTTCGGATCTATATTTTTCTCTTGCATTCATTTATTTATTTTCCGTAGGGGGGTTAAAGGGGTATTGAAATTAAATCTCAAAATATGAGATTATTTCATATTTAAAATCTTGGCCGTGTCCAAGTAAAAATTTGGTGCCTTGTGCACCGGTATTTTAATTCTAACGAAAAATTATTTAGTTTCGTTAGGATAACGCATTGTCATCCGCGATTTGGCTCTTGTTGCCCGTCTTATACGTTAAATTTATATTTATATTACAGAGCCTTGTTAAAACTCTTATATTTGATACACGCTGGCTTAAAAAATGCGTTTGTTTACCAACATTAATATATATAACAGAGAAAAGTATAGAATCGAAAGGATCTGAATAGCTCAGCTGGAAGAGCAGTCGCCCGGCAAGCGAAAGGTCTCGGGTTCGATTCCCGATTCAGCGATTTTCGGATCTATATTTTTCTCTTGCATTCATTTATTTATTTTCCGTAGGGGGGTTAAAGGGGTATTGAAATTAAATCTCAAAATATGAGATTATTTCATATTTAAAATCTTGGCCGTGTCCAAGTAAAAATTTGGTGCCTTGTGCACCGGTATTTTAATTCTAACGAAAAATTATTTAGTTTCGTTAGGATAACGCATTGTCATCCGCGATTTGGCTCTTGTTGCCCGTCTTATACGTTAAATTTATATTTATATTACAGAGCCTTGTTAAAACTCTTATATTTGATACACGCTGGCTTAAAAAATGCGTTTGTTTACCAACATTAATATATATAACAGAGAAAAGTATAGAATCGAAAGGATCTGAATAGCTCAGCTGGAAGAGCAGTCGCCCGGCAAGCGAAAGGTCTCGGGTTCGATTCCCGATTCAGCGATTTTCGGATCTATATTTTTCTCTTGCATTCATTTATTTATTTTCCGTAGGGGGGTTAAAGGGGTATTGAAATTAAATCTCAAAATATGAGATTATTTCATATTTAAAATCTTGGCCGTGTCCAAGTAAAAATTTGGTGCCTTGTGCACCGGTATTTTAATTCTAACGAAAAATTATTTAGTTTCGTTAGGATAACGCATTGTCATCCGCGATTTGGCTCTTGTTGCCCGTCTTATACGTTAAATTTATATTTATATTACAGAGCCTTGTTAAAACTCTTATATTTCTTATAAGTGTTCATTCGTCGCTGCATCTATGTATATGCACAATTGAAATTTTAGCTTAGGCTCATGTTACCTCTCCGTGAGTATCAATTAACGCCCAGCAGATGAAACTGATTAGGCAAGAACTTTCGGGAGCAATTCGAGCACACCAGGAAACTCTCGAAGACTGTGAAAGTTGATATTCGCGGTGTGCGCTCACCTGGCACTCGCGGATTATTGGTACTCGAAAATCTAATATCAGTTAAGATTAAGATACATGAACTACTATTTATCACAAAGATAAGCGCGTGTTTTCTTGGGAGATCGTAATTACCAATCGCGATTGCTTGCCACTATTATTGCTCATGATTTAGCGAACGCGAAGTTGAGCTTTTATATGTTGTCTTGTTGATAGATTCATGACCAACGACATGCCCCTTTTATGCGCCATTTAAAAGCCTATAGTTGCACGATGCAGAGTCCACTTTATTCGATGCATAACAGCAAAATCATTAAAATGAAATGTTTCCTGAAACATTCTATCAAGGAGAGTGCACGGCCTTCCCCTCACCGATTTTAACGAAAATTTTTTTATGTGTAGTACTTAGAAACAAATTCTGTTAAAGCGAGAGAATGCGCTTCTCAAGCGTTCGTCTAAAAAAAATGTTAAAGATTTGCCAGCATGTCTTAAGCCGTTACTATTTTTTTTTCTTTGTGTAATTTATTTTTTTTTGTTTCTAGAAATATTTTTTAACGTTAATAAATAAATATAAAGTTTTTTTAATTATTGGCATTTAATTTTTAACATGTTGTTCTATATATTTAAAGAAAATTCGAATGCTTTCTGTCAAAAATATAATATAAAGAAATATTTAATATTATACAAGAAATATATTACTATTAATTGAACACATAAATAAATTTACAATAATAATATTTAATAATAATTATTAATTATTTACAATAATAATTTTTTTTAGACGAACGCTTGAGAAGCGCATTCTCTCGCTTTAACAGAATTTGTTTCTAATGTACTACACATAAAAAAATTTTCGTTAAAATCGGTGAGGAGGGGAAGGCCGTGCACTCCCCTTGTATGTAAATTTTTCTATTTTATTCCTCATATACTTTTTACGTAAATATAGTTTTTTTACTATCTAATTTTATTTTATCGAATTATTTTTTTATTTTGCTGAAGATCTAAATAATAAAGATGTTGCACTTTCATGATTAGAATCACGGCACATTTTGATGCTGTCAAAAACGGGACATGTGCGAGATTTGATTGGATTTGATTCGATTTTGCAGTCAAAATTGGAATTGGAATTTTTTCTTTTTTTTTTCTTTTTTATATGTATAATACGTGGTATATAGACCCGATATGTGGTTCTCACTTTAATCGATAAGATACCATCTCCGAGCACAGAATACTAAAAAAAATTTTTTTTAACAAATTTGTGCTTATGGTTCGTAAATTTTTCAAATATCATTCATAAAAATTCGAAAGTATCTATTTCTTTCAAGTCTTACATAAATCAAATAAAAATAAAATGAAAAATTGTAAATATAATATTAGTATTACCTTTTTTTTTAAATTACATATTAATTTGACATACAGAATGTGTGTGTATATTATAATAAATGCGATACGCATTCATCATACCAGGTTTTATTCACTTTGCATTTTTTAAATTATTTTATTTTATTTTCTTATACAATTTTATTCCAATATCTTTCAAGAATAACAACTCAAGAACGCAATACACAAATATAGAAAATATCACTTGTTACTGAATAATAATGATAAATGATGTTGCGGGAAAGATCTAAATATCGTGAAATTTAGTGATTAAAACAAAAATAACGAAGATTTGTAAAAAAAAACTAGTTAATTAAAATGCACGTGACAAATTGCTATAATAAGTCATTTTTTATTAGATTCCTTACAAAAAATATTTTCTGTGTTTGCGCTGTGCTAGTATTTTTATACATCCTGCATTTGTTACTCGATTAGATAACTTACTCAGTTCTGCACGAGAACATGCATATGCATTTTAGAGTCATAATTCACTAAACAGAAAAAAATGCTTAACAATTTTTAAATTACAGGCTGCAAATCATCCAAAAAGATAATTAATTTACCAAAAGCTTTGTATGCTAATCTTTACAATTCAGTAATAATAATAAATATAAATATAAAAATAAGGATATCTATAAAAAAACTTTAAAAAATGTTATATTTTTATCTAACAAAAATTATGTGTATGTGTTTGTAAAACCAAGTTATAAATTTCTATGAAATAAATTTGTAAAGCTAATTTGTCTGAAAATTATTAATATACACGCACATTCTCGAATTTCTATAATCAATGATGTATCGCAAGTACATACATCTCGCACATGCCGTTATCAGGCGTGTATACATCATCAAATACAATTCCATCTTCCAAAATTTATCATATCAGTGACGTAAAACACGCTATAAAAGATGTGTATATTCTCAATGACAAATATGCAATAAACTGATATTCTTTAAACTTTTCTCAATTCAAAAATTATATTAAAATCTTATCAATTTTTTACCTAATTTTTCTTTAATATCTTGATTTTTTATAACAATATATATACTATATAATTTACTTATTTTTCTGTTGCATAATAAATATAGTACCTATTTTTTATCCCCCCCCCCTCTCTCTCTCTCTCTCCTTTTATAATTTTTCTCTTTTTTGTCAATTAAATTTTAATCAAGCTATTTTCTATAGAAGACACTATTAGCATCTTCATAATATAATTTTAATCACTATGTTAAGGAAGGACATGTGGTTTTACACGCACGTGTATGTGTTTCAAACTCAATCTTATCGCCATTCAATATTATAACAATCAGAGCATCGCACCCGTATAGATAACGTTATTGTATTAACTCGATAATGATCGAGTTCGATGTATTACACTGTGTTTATTACGTCCTACATAATATAATTATTTCCTTTCATTTTATTTATTATTACTTTGAATTTGTATTAAAATTATATTCAAAGATTGGTTTAATTCTTTGTATTGATATTATAATTTTAGAATATATTTAAAATCGCGAATCATTATCTAGATGTAATTTTATATCACATCAGTTAGATTAAAAATAAATTATTACACGCTATGCGCTAAAGATCAAAGTTTCCTGAAACTCATAAAATGACACAGTGAAATTTCTATATCTTCCGCTTCTTTGTAATCGTTCGTGCACAGTGTAACTTGGTGATATCGCGTATTCCAAATAAAAGTATACATATCCTCCCACACGGACTGCAAAACTGGAGTTATCCGCCTCCTTTTGTTTGTACATCGGCATACATATTCCGCATAATTGTCATAAATGAAATTCACGTGTCCAATAATTATGATTAATATAATGCAAGTAATTTACATTCCCTCCTCTCTCTCTCTCTCTTCTCTCTCGTTAACCGCATCATCTCTCCAACATGATATCGTGCATGTTAATATTAATTGCTAAATCTCTCAGTGTTAATTAATATTAACAACACTAATAGATCCGCGGATTAGTGTCATTATCATTTGTTACCGTAACAATGTCAACGTCAATTAAAGAGAATTATCTCCCCTCGCATTATCTCGGTCTCGTATCAGTGTTTGACGAAGAAATACTTGGACTTTCTTTTTTCCGAGATATCGGGATCACGTACCTGCCGGTATCGGGCGCGCGGCTTTTCAGCTCGTAATACATCAGCTCCTTGGTGGAGGTCGACAGAAGGGACAGGGCCTGCTCGAATTCGTCGTCGTAATCCCCGACGACGTCATCGTAGTGCGCGTTCGGGTCGGCGACAGCGAGGGCGGTCGTGAGGTCGAAACCCATGTCGACTCCGGACTCGTCCATCGTCACGGAGTCTTCGAATGTGCCGCGCGCGGCCGCGCGCGCGACGAATCACGGCGGACCGGGCCGAACGCGCGCGTTCGAAAGTTTCGCGGAGCCTGGCGCGGCGCGAAACGCGACACCGCGTCGCGGAAAGATAAGCGATAAGAAGCGGGAAGAAGAAGACACGCGGGATGAAAAGGGGATAACGAATGTTATTACACACGGAGAGAAAGAGAGAGGAAATGGAAGAGCCTTTCCGTCACGAGGGAGGGAGAGAGAGAAAGAGAGGACTTTTGTCTCCTTTTATGTTTATACGAGAGGGTTCAAGGGGAGATTATAGGGAGATGGATCACGAAGCACCGGCGAGGAGACTCCCATTTTGCGGAAGTGTCAAGAGTTTTCGCGCGAGTTCGCGGCGTTCGCGATTACGGCCACGCGTGCACGTGTGCGCGACTCCGTGACGTTTCTTATTCTCGGTTGCGACGCGCGTTCCATCGCCCCTTCGCGTGCGTTTTCACGGGATTTATCTCGGCACTGGCGACGATGACGACGACGACGACGACGACGACGACGACGACGACGAGCTACGACGATGCGTTTCACGCGGAGAAGAAGCGCGCGGAACAAGAAGACTCCGACGCGGACGCGAGACGAGACGAGCGTGACGCGCGCGTGTATCGGTACTACGCGGATCGCCCGTCCGCCGGGACCGCGAGGACGGAGGCGGCGTCGCGGCGGCGTCTGACTTATGACTGCCGCCATCTCGCGGCCGGCCGGCGGCGGTCTTTGAAATGGAAAGCTCCGCGTGGGTGACCTTCCGCGCGGACACGACTAGCTTTCGCGATGACCTTGCGTCGGAGACAGTGCGTTGTGCTTGGATGATTATTTAATTAGCTGGATAAAGATTGAGATGAAAATGTGGAAATTCATCTCTTATACATATGATAATGATTTTGATTTAAATATTTATAGATCAAAGATAAAATTATATTGCGACTCATCTAGATGACTTCTGGATAATATTATTTTTAATACCGCTTATATAAGCACTGTTATAAAAAAAATGTTAATTATAAAAAGGATATACAAGTATATTTTTATTTTTATTTGTAAGTTTCTACTACTCAAATTCTCTGCTACTTAATAATATTTAAGTACTTTTATGTGCTATTCTAAACCAAATTATCTGAACATTATTCTAGATAATTTAATAAAGATAACACTTTTTTTCATCTAAAATACAGATATAAATAATACATATTTTTATTATCTATATAAAGATAATATGACTTCAAAACTTCATCTATATAATCATCTATATAATTTTATTTAGATAACAGCAAACACTGCAGAGAAGTGTACTGAAAACAATAACCAGCAACAATGAACTATATTTGTACAACACTTCCTTCTTGACACGTTAATTTTAAATGAAGTATTTGTATATCTAAAGCAGCTTGAATTGTTTAATACTTTTTTTATTAATACTTGCAGGGAGTATAAAATGATTCAACTTGTTCGAAATTGCTATTATAAATAGAAGGTTATCTTTATCATACTTTATGTATGAATTAATTAAAAATTACTTTAGTCTTTAAAATCAAGTTGCAAGCTCTGTAATAGAAAGTTAGAAATTTTAACTAAATTTTGCATAATTGAGTTATGTCGTTTAAAATAATTTAAAAGTATATTGATGTCTAAGTTATTTTAATCGATATAATTTAATTATGAAAAATTTAGTTAATATTTTAATTAGAATTACTGGCAAAGTATATTTTGTAATTTCCAATAGAAATATATTTTCGCCGTAAAATTGCATTCAGGTAAAGAAATTATTTTCTCTCTTACACTACTTAATATTCGAAAATACATTCAATTGTTGAAATTGTGCCGCAGCATAACTCTGCAAAGTGTTTTTGTTTCCAATTAGGTAACCATTCTAAGAACTGTTTAACTACCTATACTAAAACGCGACACAAACACGAGCGTTTACCGCGAAAAGAGAGGCGATAATCAAAAACGTATCATTGTACGCATATTTGGCAAAATAAACATACATCAGCATAATGCGAATGATTATCCGATGATGTAATTCGCAAATACGCTGACACTGATTGTCCGATGCTACAACAGTATTATGACCTCATGCAGTATCGTAAAGTTCGTCAAATTCACTCGGGTCTGTCGTGCAAATTAATTAAGGACTGTGAATTATTCGCCGCAGATCGCCATGTACTCGCGATTATGCACAATATTGCTTTCGATATTGATTCTGTCTGAGACACGTGCGATTCAACCGTTCAATGAGAACACTTTACCGCATAAAGTTTCAAAAAAACTAGACGATTACTGGCAAACCTACAAGGTAACGTTTAAAACGCTAATTATTTAAAGAAGTTAAACTTTAAAATATATATGTATTTTTATTATTTTCCAAATTTAAGATAAAAGAAATTTTACTCGAAAATTATATTCACGATTATTATAATTACTAATTAATTTTTATTTAAACAAATACGTTTATATATATGAGCTAAGTTTTCTTTAATCTATAAATGTATATGCAGTTGTAGAAACCATTTACAAGATATACATATTTTCTCTTATTAAATATTAGAATGCTGTCAACAATTTTAATTTTTATATTATAAATTTAAAAAATATAAATGCTGACATTATTTAAATTTAATATATTTAATTAGAAAAAATTAGTATAATCTTATAAATGATGTTTCTATGATTGCATATACATTTATGTATATTTTGCAAAATAACTGCTTATTAATCTTAAAAAAAACATCATCTAAAAAAAGGAAAAAGGTCATCGCAACTCACGTCAGAAATTTATAATTATTGCATCTGCGTCGTATAAAGTCAATCAATAACTAAATTTACATTCTTCTATTAATCTGGTTCAGTAATATCAGCAGTTTTATATATATATTATATGTATGTATGTACATGTAATTATAAATTTAAAATATCGTGTAAATCACACATTTTCAATTAACGTTTCACGCTAATTACGATATTACAAAATCAATTATTATAATACTGATATAAACCAGCATTTATACGAGATTTTAAGTCAAGTATAGTCAGAGAACTACGAGTGTGTTGATAAACAAGATTAATGGAAGCGCATGTAAACGTATAGTCATTGTTTTCACGATATTTATGATTAGACGCAGTTTAATAAAACGTACACGGGAAATCTGGAAAACACGAGGCGAACGGCTTGGGAACAAAACCTCGTGGAGATTTATAAACACAACCTGATGGCCGCCGCGGGACATCATAGTTACACCTTACGGGATAATCATATTGCCGATCTCAATACTCGACAATACATGCGTGATATGGTTGGTATAACTCTAATGAGCCGATATATTTTGGAGAACAAAATTCTAGTCAAACTTCAAGATTTTTTATTTTAATTTTTGTTGCAAAAGCCTTTCTCGGTCTTTCTTCCTTTCTCATTAAACGTCCCAAGTTAACAAAGTCTTAAAAATTGCAATTCTTTATTTTATAAACATTATATGAAATAAACTTATTACGAAACGCTAAATAAATAAAAAATGGCGCTTGTCTCAGGTAAAACTGATACCGAGTCGAAGGCGCCGATTGCCAACCGAACCGATGGTATCGGCGGTTCTGCACAACCCCCATAGCATACCAAAACGATTAGATTGGCGCGAATACGGGTTCATCACCGCGCCGGTGAACCAACGGGACTGCGGGAGTTGCTACGCTTACTCGATCGCGGAGAGTATACAGGGACAGATTTTTAAGCAGACCGGCATGCTGCTCTCCTTGAGCGCACAACAGTTGGTAGATTGCAGCACGGCGACCGGGAACCGCGGCTGCGTCGGCGGTTCCCTCAGGAATACCTTAAAATATCTGGAAAAGTCGAAGGGTCTCATGGCCGGATACCGGTATCCGTACTACGCCGAGGTACGCATTGCTCCTTTTCCACCTGTCGAATGCATATCCGATTGGAATATATTCCGTCGTGTATAAAATGTCTCTCTGATGATTTGCAAAACTTCATAAAACGCGTACTGTGCGTCACGTGAAATTTCAAGAAATTTTTTTCTTATTTTTCTGAGTCTCTTTTTTCCCGGTTTCATCTTTTCCTTATTTTTAATAATGCCGTAAAAAAAGTTTTTCTTGATTGATGACAATTAAATTAGAGCTATGTATGAAAATTGATTGAACCTAAGCGTATTTAGAATTTTAATGAATGAGAATTTATAAATACTTGAATTTCTGGTTTCTCTTACTGACTATAATACACATTATTAGCGACTATAAGCGAAGGTGCTGACAGTGCGAATTTAATTATCACAATAAAGAAGTAAACGTCAAGGTTTATTCCATTACTTCGCAGATTTCCTCTAGTCAGAAATATTAGAAAACTCTGCGTGGAAGATTTTGGCGACGGGAATTATGCCAGTCACGATAGTTTTCTGTAATATAAATGACGATGGCCTTGTCAGCCCTCTTCCCTCCCTCTATTATATATCTCTTAAGATATGTTTTATACACATTATTCATGTCGCATCAAGGCTATATAATTCATAGATATTTAACAAAGTAGCGATTATTGCCTGTTAAATCGCACAATAAGAAGAAAACGCGCTTATCTGTGATCAAGCTGCCTTAATTTAACGCATGTTGACGACGGAATTCAGATGATGCAACCAAAAAGTATTTAGCGTATGGCAAACACGCTTCAATTTAATAGTGTCGACAAACGTTAGGGGCAAAGTTCTTTGGCTTCTCGATTGTCAATCTTTTTCTATTAAACCTATTTTCTTTAATTAGACAATGTTATTTTATTTATTATATTTCGTTGAAGCAAATTCAAGTACTTGCTGTATGTATATATATATGTTACTTCAAAATTAAATCGAGAATAAAAAGTAATTGTTAAAAAATTCAGTTAATAAATTAAGCGACGCAAGATTGTGATTAATATGTATTTTTTTCTTGGCAAATTTTTCATGTTTTTTTTACTGTTTTCAATCATGTCTATATATTTATAAATAGATAGAAATTTATAAAATTTTTTGAGTGGTTTGAACTTAAATAGCATTTCTGTTCTTAAACTGATTAGTTTTATCACTGCAGGTTATTATCAGAACAGCTATTTTTGTTACTAAAGTATATATTAATTATATATATATGTGTGATAAAACTAATCAGCTATTTGAGGATGCAGACTTTGGATTACTGGAGAAAGTTCAAAAACGATCATTTTTTCGTAGCACGAAAACAAACAAATAAATCTATAAGAAGTAGTAAAAATTAAAAATTAAGCTATTATGTTATTAGGTTATTCCTATTAATTTTCTATTAATATAATATAATATATAATATTAATATAATTTATTCTGTTAATATAATATTTATACAGATTATTATTATAGTAATAATTCATAATTCATGTCTGATAACTTAAATTATTTCAGCAAGGTGAGTGCAGATTTCAAAGGGAGTTGAGCGTCGTTAATGTAACGTCATGGGCAATCTTGCCTGCACGAGATGAGAAAGCTTTAGAAATAGCAGTAGCTACCGTCGGTCCTATAGCCGCCTCCATAAACGCCAGTCCGAAGACATTTCAGCTTTATCAGTTAGTATCCCATTTTATTTGCTCCGAAAAAAACCGTGCAAATTACCGCTAACGAGCAAGTGACGTACTCGCGAATCGTGACAAACGTATCGGAACATTCAAGAAATACGTGATAATTTCAGACACCTGTTATTTATTATGCAGAAATTCTACATTTATTACAACTTCCGGCGCTTATGGATCGACTGCTTAATATGTGAAGGAAAAGAAAACAGTGCAAAATACGATACACTCGGTGTAAATTGAAAAAATTTATGTAGATAATTCTGGTAACAAACAATTTTTTCTTGCTCAGATAGTTAATCAAACATAATCCAACAAATAAATAAGTTAGTTAATATTTTAATCGATCACGCAGTGCAGTGACGCGATTTCTCGAAATACTACGCAAATTCGAAGATTAAGTGACGTCACCGTCGATTTGATTTGGATCCGTAACTTTTGATTGACCACAGCTGATTATTATTATCGATACCACATGCGCATTTATTTGAACTTGAACTGATCTCACACGAATTAGATCAATATTTTTAACTGTTAATTAGCTGACGATGAATTCATGCTATCAAATCCACTAATTGATTGCGGGAAAATGTAATTCTGAGAAAGCTTTATGCGTGATATTTTCAAAATTTTCCATTTAATTAAGAATTAATTTATTAGAACTTTACTTTGTGAAATGTTTGCATACTCGAATATTTGTAATAAAATTTAAAAATAAGAATTTAAATAGATATTAATATAGATAATAATATATTTAAATATATTTAAATATATTTTGAATATTTAAACGTGTACATTTATTCAAATGTTAAATTATTAAAATTCCATAATATCTCCGACTAACATACATATAATTGAAATGGCGATGTGTCATGTTTATGCGAAAGGCGTGAAGATTGGAAATTTTTGCTCGGACCCCCGCAGAAGAAATTGCTCCAATCGCGTGATAACCTTTTAGCACTTCGCCAATATGATGACCCTCATTCATTTGAATTGCCAAAATGCAGTCGTTGAACGTATTTTATTTTAAAAGATCTATAGGCGTGACCATTTCCTATCCTAGTTTATTCATTTACGACAAATAACAGGATACTCGCGAAGCATGATTGACATTTCCGAATTACTATGTTACACAATAAATGAGAAAAAACACGTATACAATTAACGTAATAATCGCGTATACTACGCGCAAGTTCAATGTCGATGATTCACTTTTTCTAATTAAAGAACGTATTTCTCACGCAATGTTTATATTTGTTTCCTCTCTTTTCTATCTTTAATTCGCTTATCATATTTGACGTTTTCCAGGATGTTTTCCCGTTCGCGACTTAATTTCTTATCTAATAATAAATAATTATCGTACATTTATATATCTCCAAAGCAATCATATCTTAGATGTATAGATGTTAAAAATAATTTGAAATATTAATCGATATTTTTATTATGCTTGCAGTAAAGGTGTTTACGACGACCACCTGTGCAATTCGGACACGGTAAACCACGCGGTATTAATCATCGGATATACGCCGACCGAATGGATCCTGAAGAACTGGTGGGGTGACAGTTGGGGTGAACATGGTTACATGCGATTGGCGAAAAATAAAAACCGCTGTGGCATAGCGAACTATGCGGCCTATGTAAAAGTTTGAGATTTTCTCATTCCTCTTTAATTTGGGTCCGCGAAAAGATCTCTTTTTTACTTGCAAATCTTTCGAAAAATATACATTGCCTATATATTTATGTATTAATTATGTATATTTTCATGCTTGAACGGAGAGCATTTTATTTCCGTTTTTATCACTTCCTTTTCTCTTTCGATAATATTAGATAAATTATTTTTGTCCTAGATATTTCTTATCAACTCTTACGCTTAGAGGAAATTAACGAGAAAAGTGATAGAAATATACACGAATGGCAGGTTAAATGGTTCTACTCGCTGATACAATTCTATCGATGTTTCACCGTGGGGGAGTAAAGAGTCAAGGATCGCATGTATTCGAGCGATTAAACTTCGGATAATTACTAAGGATCGCCGAACATTTATTACATAACAGCCATTGACCGCAGGACGGACGCTCGAATGCCAGATACCAGACTTCCGTAACCACATAGGATCCCGGGGAAATTTAATCGAACCGTACAACCGCGGCACGATAGGAACGTGGAGACTTTGCCCGATCGAAAATTCTATCCGAAGACGAAGTACACGGCTAACCGGGACATATCGCCATGGCATTTCTGCAAAAGAGAGAGAGAGAGAAAGAGGGACAGAGATACGCGACAGGAGAGAGAGATGAATCAATTTGTAGGTCCGTAGATAGGTAGAACTCGATGGACGCTAACCGCGTGACGTAATGTCAGGCGAAACCGTCACGTAACTGCATAATGTCACACAGTGGCAAATCCAGGGACGCATCTCGCAAATGATTTACGTACGCACAATTCGAACACGGAGGGATAAAAGGGGATTCTCGCGATGGAGAGATAGAAACAGTAGTCGCACCTTTTTTGATTTAATTAATGTTAGATTTAATATGAGTTGGTATAATGAAAAATATAATAGACGATAGAAATATTTTGATCAGATGAGTAAACTGTTATAACAAAAAGTTTGCGTTTATATCAGAGAAAGTTTTCTTACACATCTTAAAGAGAGATATGCACCAAAAAAATTGTATTCTAAGCACCAAGAGGATCCTCTTAATTTAAGAAATTCCTCTAAATTTTAGTATATTTTTTTCTAAAAATAAGAATAAATTAAGGATATCATCTTAAATTAAGAGAATCCTCTTGGCGCTTAGAATGCAATTTTTTCGGTGTGTATTTTCTGTCGCGAAATATAATGCAAACCCTACGAAAAATCACTTTGCATCCACGTTGACGTAAAAAATAAATATGCAGAAAGTTCTGGCAACTCGCCATTGTACGTCTCGTAAGTTTTCGCGATTAAACGTACAAATAATGGCGCGTCCCGACAAATAAAAGCTTTATTCGAGCGATTGCACGTCATATCCAGCGCGACACGACGATGCAGCAGCTCGACGAAAAGAATCCCGAGGAGCAATATGTTCGGAATGCATTGTCGCAGCTTGTGGAAAGCTCTCTCTCTCTCTCTCTCTCTCTCTCTTTCGCTTCCTCTGATTTTCCGATATCACATGCAGCCCCGAGACCACGTAAATTCCATCTCTCTGTTCGGAGGTCGGCCGCGATTCATTGTTCGTCAAATGGCAACGCGCGCAATCCGTCCCGGTGCATCCTCGATTGTTACCTGGCAACATCTCTATCTGTTTCCCATCTGTTAAGCGACGTCACGACGCGCATCTCGTCCTACCATAACATCCTGCTGCTATCGGCAGCTCGATACAAACCGGCAAGCTCGTCTTTGCACTCCAAATATCATAATTCGATGTTTTTCAATTTCTTCACCATTGTATATAAAATAGCGTTTACATAGTAATATTTATTTAAAGAATAGTAATCTCTATAAAAGAAAAAAATAGATATATTACGGCTGTATATGCACGGAAACGTATATAAATTTAATTATTAAGAGTATGTTCACTATAACAGTGATACACATCTTAATTGTCAGAAAAGATCGAATTACATTTTAATAGAGAGATTTCAAATTTTAATTATTTTAATCACATAAATATTATATTTTTAAACGCACTGTTTTTTTATTAATTCCAGAAGAAAACACCTACGGAAAATTATTCTCATCGTATACATATAATAGAGTAAGAATATCCTAATCGGAAAAGTGTGTGCGTGTGTGTGTCACCGAGCTCTCTACCGTTATAAGAAGCAGAATGGGGGATGGAGGCAACGAAGAAAAATAGAAAGAGAAAAAGCGGCGAGGCAATCGGTCGACTTATTGTGAAAGACTCGAGCGATGAGTCTCTCGCGGAGACTCTGCGCAGAATATAATCGTTCGTAATCGGATCAAGGGGAGTAACATCCTGATTTACTGAACTTACTCCTCCTTCCCGGGTCTCGCCTGCTCTAATCGCCCTTATCTCTCATTCTCACGGCCTTCCGTCGTCTCTCCGGGGAGATCGGGACAGGAATAACTTGACGGAGGCGAACAAGTTTATGGTCGCCATGGGAAAATCGCGAGATCCCGCTTTTAACGTCACCGCAAGTCGTTTGATCGATTTGCTTAGACTCATTTTCACGTGTAAAAACGTCGCTCTAATCTCTTGACGTCTAAGACATTATTTTCGATGATTTGTATTATGATCTCGCCCTGGAAATTTCTATATATGACAAAAAATGCGGAAGATACGATTTTATTATTATAAATTAAGCAAGGAATAAATAAGAAATAATCCACGAAGAAAATGAAAATATTTAAAAATGCTTGGATTATTTTTTTTACTTTTCTACATGTTATTAATATTAATGATTTATTCGACAGTCAAAATATCTTTCTATATCTTATTCTATTAATTTTATAATAATTCAAGTTAAAATTCGACATGGAAATCGCGTTATCTTTCACGGCAAATATAAGGCTCCATTTTTCTATACGTATCGCGTAATAAATTAAATTTTTCCCGATCGTTATCTTATTTATATGAGGACGTTAGTCGAGCAGGACAAGGATGTCCCCCTCGTAATTTCCACGTGACTCGCGGTTATTTTCGGCGTTTCCAGTACGTTTTTCATTTCGTCCCGGCGTGGCGCGGCAGCATGACGAATGGCGAGCGAACAAAAGGGAAAATAAATAAGAGCGCAGGATTCTCAGTATGCCGCGAGCTTTCATCGTTCGCTTTATCCTTATCCTTGCACGTACGAGGAGTCAGGGAAAATGTGAGCGCAACAGAATTTATCGTCCTCCAGGACGGAGTCCCTTAAGAGCGTCCGAAGTACGTGCACACGCGTGCACATACACGTACCGGAATAATACAGCGAACTGAATAACGAATTGCAGCATCGTCATATATCACAATATCGCGCAAACAACAACGTAACATCCGCAAACTTGGGCCATATTGTCGTTAGCATTATTATTGCCGTTACGAGACGTAAAGATCTCCCGCGCCATTATTTATCGGTTAACTGCATTTCTCTCCCCAAATATCTACATGCAAAAAATTTAACGCTATCGTGAAGAGAAACCTTTGGTAAAGAAATCTTCTAGAGACCTCGTCAAGGGAAATTACTGAACTACTCTTAAGGGAATTCTAAACATCCTTGAGAAGTCTGTTGTTTCTTTCCTGTTTTATCGACAAAATGTGAAAATGTGAGGTAAGATAAACTACAAATCTATTTATTGGCTTATACGAATTCTTTTTTACCTGAAATTAGAGCGCTTCGCTCTTTGTTAATATTAATACTTTAATTTGTGTGTACAGGAAAAAGATTTTTCAATCTGTATAGTCTTATATATCTAGGTTACAGAATTATGAATTCAAGAATTCAAGAATGCTGTAACCTAGATATATGAGACTATACAAATTGATAAATTTTTTTCTTATACAAATTAAAGTATTAATATTAACAAAGGACGAAGTGCTCTAATTTCAGGTAAAAAACAATCCGTATAGCCAATAAATAGATTTATAGTTTATCTAATCTCACATTTTGTCGATAAACCAGGAAAAACCAACAGATTTCTCAAGGACGTTTAGAATTCCCTTAAAGCGTTGATTCGCTGGATAAAATATGGATATCGCGATACCGCGTAAACAATCACGGCATACGTTCTAATGCCGAGGTGGATAAACGAGCATGCAAGACGACGCATGCAAACATGGTCCCTTATCGAGGCAAGATCGATTAAGCCGACAAGCGCATGTAAGCAGGATTCGAGGATCGATCGTTCGGATGACAGGAAGATATGCGAGACAGAGGGAGAAAGAACGAGAGAGGGATATGTTGTTTTTTATCACGTGCCTACATATGGCGCGATAAGCGTTTTCCGGTGAATTTAAGAGCCAGGGAGATTTTCCCGCTTCGAGACGACACCAAAGTATAACGCTCCTCCAAGAAGGAGCATCCTTAACCCGGAAGAGAGACGAGCATTGCATCTTTCGGCGTCCGTCGTCTCTCTCCTCGAATCGAGTATCCAAATACTCGTCGGTAAATCGCATCCGCAGCCGTCGAGAGAGAAGATGAGCCAGCCACCCGCCGTGCGTGAATATTTATCGAACTTCGACCGCGAAACGCACAAAGACGATCCTATATATACTCGACACATGTCGAGAGCGACGATGCAGCCTCTTGCACGTTCGCGTGTTCGCAGACCGGAAAGGACAATAAATTGCATCTCGTACAAATATCGATAACGTGTGTTTTCGTATATATACTCTATGTATATATACACGTCGTAACCGTTTTTAAAACGTGGCGATATTGCTGGTCCAACAGAACATTTCATCGGTCGAACGAGGTCGAATTAAATCGTGGACGAGTCTTAATTTGATATTTTTAATACAAACGTTTTTGCTTTGTTTTGATAACTGCTTGTAAATTTTAATGAGGACATAGGTATATAAATAAGCAGTATTATAATTTAGAAATCAGAAATAATATATATAAAAAAAAAAGTAATATAAATAAAAAAAATATGATTATTATATGCAGAATATTTATTACAGACTCATATCATATATTTAAAAATGTATAATAATTTATTATGTTATGATCATTTACTGTGTGAAAAGAAAAACAGAATGTAAAATAATTATGTAAACAGATGAAATATAATAAACGCGTAAATATACTCTTCTATCATCGAGATATATGTATTATATTTTATTAAACACGTTATAATGATAAACTCACAGAGTGATATCGCGTAAATATTATAGATATCATTTCTGTTTAAGAGGACTTATTAGCTCTCTCTTGATATATCAGATTAAACTTAGGGACCTGCAAAGTGACCCGGCCAATCGCCTTTAAACGAGTGACTCGTTGGTCAAAATCATTTCATATGAAGATGACGCGACAATGAAGTGATCTTTGGACGAGAAGAGCGATTCAACTTCAACCATTCGCTTTGTCAAGAATATCACATGACATAGAAATAGAGGTAATCATCTTCTCGGTTTTCCCGTTGCACAAAATTCACTCTCTTATACAAAATTGTAATCATTCTTATCTATTTACTACCATATAGATCGAATTTTTGCTTTTGCAAAAAAAGATAACATTAATTTTTTAAACTAATTGTAAATTAGCACAAAGTGAAAATAAATAATTTTCAAAGTAATACTAAGTATTTAATCATAAAAACTTACTTTATCTCTCTTTGTCGTCCTCTCTCTCTCAATTTGTTTTTATTTTTATTATTTTAAGAGTTAATTATCTACAGTGTACAAAAATTCTTGAAATTGATATAGAATAAAATATGCAATGTATCTAATAATTTTGTTAGAGTTTTATATATGTATTTATTTTTTTACTCGTTCAAAACAATGCAAAAATAATTTTAGTTTGATGTTTTTTTTTATTTAAAGACCCTAGATTCTGTGTGTATCGCGTAAAACGATCAATTTTTCATCTGCTACGCAAAATAGTCGAGCAAGCCTGTAATTCAGTTATTCCATTGCTTATTATCGCTTCGTTATTCATTATACAAAGGCGTCGGCCCGTAACAGACAGTGATTTTAAATTACTGTCGCCTACGCAACAATAAAGTTTCACGTTGTCATTGGTTTGCGTCAAATCCACCACCTTTGCCGACATCGCATTAAACACCGCGGATCGTTCTCGTTACACGCAACGGAAATTAAATTCTCCGGAAAGTTTGCGACAAAAGATTCAACCGACACAACTACTTCCTCGTTCATTGTTAAACTCGCGTATATATCGTATAATCCGACAACTCAAGGAACGAACTTGTTATATTTATTAGAAATACAGTTTGTATAACAAAAAATCTCTATATAAACATATGTGTAAAGTAAAAAAGATATAAAAAATATAAAAATATTCATTATATTTGCAAATATTCAAATATTTCTTGTATGTTATAATTAAATCTATAAATATTTTTTTAATCAAGAAGAATGATGTACGTTTTAAAAATTGAAACTTTTTTATTTTTTTACCCACAATCTATATCTGTAATATGTAACATAAATGATATAATTCAAAAAATATAAAAAGAATTATTAATTTATTTTTATATATGCGTGTATATGTACATATAGAAGCACAGTCAATACTTTATCAATATTATTTGTCACGTTGCTATATTGTGGTTTATAAAATAGAGAGTAGAGCATATTTTTTTTCTTTTATGAAACGATAAACATAAAATATTATTATAGTTGAATGATAACATTACGTACACGCGTAAATCAGTTCGAAAAATTACATATTTAATAATACCGATAATAAGATAACGTAAACAAACGCCGCGATTCTGCAAATGAGCGCAACGTGCACGAACTGCTGATTACACGCGCCATACCCAGCACAAATTATAGAATAATTCAGCGCGCTGGGCCACAATTTGCGAACCATAAAGTCCGATGAGTTAACGAAACGAGAACGAGAGAAAAAAGCCACGCTCAAATGTCGAAATACGATGCACGCGCGTAGCAAAAGTTGCTTCCATTACAATCATTAATAACAAACAGTAAAAAAATGTTAAGGCGCTTAGTGCAGTATATCTTTGCAAATGCTACTCTTTTTGCAAACCGTTATCGCATAATTGATTAAACTAAAGGCACGAGGCACAAGAGTATTTCACGCTGCAGTATTTCCCAGCAAAGTGGCGCTATCGAAAGAAATCGCAACTCACGGTATTCGATAAATAAATAATCTTGGCGCCTCAATAAGCATTCGTCGCATCTTTTCAATATGCTTGTACATGTCCCAAAAAAGAAAAGAGAGATAAATATTCGGCGTTTCCGGGTCAACGAGATGGGTCATCTTCCATGAGAGACGACGCGAGCGCTCCGATGAACCGCGAATTGCAGGCCTCAGCTCAAAGAAATGCTGACACTAATCTACGACGAAGCGTATGTTAGTCTTTTTGCGGTAAACATTCGCCTTATAAGCGCACTCAAATCAAGAGATATGAATATCCGTCATTTTGTAACTATTCAAATTCCAAAAAGATAGGAATAGTTATAATCTCAAAAATTATTTTTGAATCATTATACATGACTTTACGCAGCAACAAATTATAAAAATAAAATAAAACCAATAATAAAGATATTAAAGAAAAATAAATAAAATTGAAATTAATTAGCTATTGATTATATTTAATAGATTTTAATTTTAAATAAATATTAATAAACATTAATTTTATCTTTTAATAAATCTATAAATAAAAATTTCTTTAATAATTTTTTTTATGAGAGAGAAATTAATTTTATCTGTTGAAAAAAGTAAACAGAAAGGCTCTGATATATAAATATAAATTCAGGTATAAAAAGAGACTAATAAGAGCCAGATACACAGATATTAGATACATTAATAACAACATTATTTTTAAATTCTTCTATACTTATTTTGAACGTTTCGGCTCTACCTTTGGACCATTTTTAGCATATCAAAGCGGAGCAAGAACATGAGGCGAATGTCCTGACCTCCACAATAAACAAATAATACTCTTGCTTATAGTTTTTACAGTATAATAGAGTATTGTTAAACCAGTACTATTATTTATTTATTGCGAACCAGGATGTTATTCTCCCTTTCTCTCCTTCAATATGTTGCGAACGATATCCGAAACAGAAAAATAAATATAAAAGAATTTAAAATTAATTTAATTTCACCTAATGTATGTGCCTGGTTCTTACTAATCCTGTTCAAATCTGAATATACGTTAAAAAAATTAGATATAAATGAATGTTTACACAGTAATTTCGCAGATATATGCTCTCCAAATAATTCACGAAAGAAATGGAAAACATTTCATCACATTGCTGTACGCCTTGTAATATCAAAGAACTACATTGATTTGATCGAGAGAAAGAATCTATTATGGTTCAGCAAGATGCCAATCAACGAACCAAACACCTTCCACCAGAGCGACGATAAACTCCAACCTACTAACGACAGATTCGAGATTTCAGGAACCGCCAATGGACCACTCATTCCATCGGCAGCATGTTCGCGGCGCGTGCTTCTGCTGTGATATCAGCCTCGCTCTCGCCCCCGTATTGGTCCCGGCGGCTGTAGAGCAAAGTTCATGAAGCCTCTGCAGACTCAACTACATCACCGGATCATCGTAACGATTCACCTCCAGTCTCCGTGAACGCGTCGTTGAAGACGTCGGTCAACCCGGCGGAAAATCGTCCTCGAGAATCGATCGGATGTCGACCTTTCCTTACGTTCGCATCAAAATCGCTGCCGACTCCGCAGGTTGATATTTATAATGCAGAAATATAACAGTGCTTAAAGAAAGAAGAAGAATGAAGCAGCAATCGCAATCTCGCGAGATATCGACTAGCTGATTGTAGTGACCCGCCTAACCTGCTGCAGTTTTTGTCAATAATATTGATATATTATTACGCAAATTGTACGAGTATCACTGGAATTTCTAAAAGGAAAAAGGATTCTTAGAAGATTGTCTCGATTCAAATGATTTAATCGATTGTGAAAATTATATACGAATATAAATTCGTGCGAAATAAATCCATGCATCGAAGCAGTCCGACAGAAGATTCATATAATTTTTAGGATTAAAAATCGAAAAAGACACCTTCTCGAAGATGTATAAAGGTCGCTGAATGTCGCTAAGTATAAACTGCCGATTAAATTCGGCATTTATTAAATTTAATTTTGACAAAATACTGTCAGTTAGACCGAAAAAACATTACCACCAGAATATTGTTAAAATCGACTAAGAAAGAAGGACAATTAAAGAAGAAGTGATTTAAATCGATCGCTATCTAAATTGTGATTATTTAATTGCGTTTATTACGATACTGATTTTTAATGTGCGGCAATAACAGGCTAACTTTATCTTCAATTCTATTATACCAGTGTCTGTAAATATTTTAATAATCTATCTTTCCCGAGCGACACAAGACGAATAAAACAACAAAGAGAGAAAGAGAAAGGAAAACCTTGTCAGACAATCCTCGAGAGCTCAAAAAATTAGAATATTTACAAAAATAAATATATATCGCCTAAATAAGCTGTCACGCACAATCCGACACAGACCTCTTCAGATAACTTTGAACTCGTCAAGCTTTGAAAACTTGTTAAAGTCATCTCCGGAATTGCTAGTGTCGACCAAATTCGTGAATTCGCGCGTTAACGGTGGTGAATAATAAAAGATAATTATGTATTATTCCGTAAATAGTGTCTTGTTAAAATAGAAAAAAGATACATTTTGTGCGGTACATCGCGCTTATTATTTTAAAGTTTCTTAGCAAACAACTTTGAAAAAAAATGCGTCTACTCATAATATTTGTTATCTTCTTTGCGAGCGGCAACGTGGCGAACTGGTCGAAGATGACCAACCCATTGATGAAAGTGTGGTATACTTTTCTCCCTCATTCCGAATCGTCGACTAGCAACGAAAACGACTGCGCCGGCTGCGAGCAGAATAAGGTCAACGTGATCGATCCCAACCCGTACTTGACCGAGCTGAGAGTGGAGTACGTGAAGCAGCAGATCCTGAAGAAGCTGCGGCTGTCGAAGCCGCCCGAGGTCTCGATGCCGCTGTCGACCTTGCCGAAGCCTTTGATAAACGGCAATGTGCTCGAACTTCGACCCGGAGCGCCCGAGCCGGAAAAACCGGCGGAACACTTCTACGGGAAAACCGACCAAGTCATCGTATTCCCAACCGAAGGTACGATTTTCACGAGTTCAAGTGATGATTCGATATTTAATTCGTTAATTATTCATTTTAATCTTGGAATTAGTTATAAGGAAAGAAACTATTTGAAATAATAATAATAATAATATATATATATATATATATATATATATATATATATCATATTCTAATATTCTCCCACTCGAAAAAGATTCTGAAAAAGTATGTGTGTATGTAATGCAAATCTATTTTATTGCAGTAAGAGTGTTAAGGCAATTATAACGTACTTGACTAACTAAAAAAATTATTTTGATAAATCTTATGTTTTTACTATCTAATGTTTATGTTTAATATTTGATAAAAAAGATAGTGATAAGAAAATTATAGAAGAGAATTTATCACACATCTCTCCCGTCTTGAAATATTAAATACTAAGTACGAATTTATGGAAGAAGATCTTAAAAATATTTTTGATTGCGTAGTTACATGTAGGTTGTTGCGCAAAAATATTCGACCATACGCAGATTGCTAATGAACAGATATTCAAGCTCGATGTATAAATACGGAAAAAGTGAAGAATGAATAACTCGTGAGAAAATACGCGTCATTCGCGAATATTGAGCGAACGTCATTCTCATAGTATAGACCTAGGCTCTGAGTGCTCGAACGCGAAATAAAATGAATATCGAGTGTGCGCGCTTTTTCGAGGGAGCTTTAGATGAAGTGAATCTGTAAATGAACTATTGTGCCAGAAATATATCCAAGTACTTGATCGATACGACGAGAAAATTTGAAAAATTATAATGAGTTGCAAGAATATGCGTTCCGCAAGTAATAAATTATTTTAAATTAATAAATAAACTTACGTATACATATAACTTTTCATTTACATAATTGTTCTATATAATGTTTAGAAAATAAAAATATAATAAAAAAATATTATTTTCGTGATTAACCGCTAATATTAGAGCAAAGATAATTATTGCAAAATTACAAAAATTTAAAAGCTCTGGATTTGAATTTCTTTTAAGTGATTTTCCTCTAAGTTACTGCGAGACTGTATATTACATTTTCTGCGTAATCATCTAGCATTCATTTTACATTCGTGCACATCCAGCATATTCATACGCGAAGCTGACCGTCTTGCATCGAAAGCTCACCTCACCGAGAAGCTCGTTTCTTTCTTTTTACGTACAGCTGGCTGGCCGTTCCTCTCGACAACCTCTTCTTGGCCAGCCAGACGAGAAACACCGGCGGGGATATGAATATTGCGTAATTGCACGGCTCCCTCGAAATAAACGAGAACCGGTAACAATGACGGCGTTTCTCTCTCGCGGCACGGTACTTCTGGATAGAGGACGACCGACTGGGACCATGAATTTCAAATTTTCCGCGGCGATGCAAATACGGAAACCGCGCGAACGACGCACGTATGAATCCCGGCGGCGCGGCGGAAATTTACCTCGAATTACGACGCAAAATCACGCTCCCGACATTTTAATCGCCCGTGTGAATCATTTTCGACGTGTTCGAAACGAATTTCTTAAAGTCAGGAGAAAACCTTTCTCGTTAATGGCTCGCGGAGTCCTATTATTTCAGGATTTTCTCGAACGCATAAGAGAAAAAAAATGAACAATAAAAAATCGAATGAGTGGACAAACTTTTCGCTTACGTTTCTACCACGACAATTAAAAATAATAGACGATAAAGATACATATACGTGTCGAAATTAGATACAAAGAGAATTTTTGAGCTACGGACTTTATATGTCACGCGAAAGTTTTTACATTTAAAATCAGCTGTTTCCATTTTGACATTTTACCGCGTCATGCGATTTTATTCACAACGACTGCATAATTTACGGACACATAATTTCTTGTACTTGTAACGGAACGTAAAAATACGATAATATAATCGTTCATCGACTGCATGAATATGTTAAATATTAGTGCTCCAAATTTTCTTTTCACGCTTCTTATGCAGTGTTTCTCGCGCACGCGATTGTAACTTTTTAACAAAAACCTTGATCCTATTATTATAATATCTTTTTAGATTTCTCAAATAACAATCAATATGTCAATTTCACAAATTTTTACAGTTGTCAATCTCAAATCATTCTACAGTTTGTGTTATGTCAATTGAACTTACACGGGAAGAAGATCTACATCTTTTCATGCTCTTATAATCTCGCTTCAATTTTGCGTAAATGTTTTTTCTCTTCTTTTTTATAACTATTTTTATAATCATTTGTTAACAAACAAGTTTTAATTTTTCAAACGTCACGTTTTATTGAATTCTCTAGTTTCTAGTAAAATTAAACTTAGTAAAATTTAAAAGGGAAGTTTCAAAATTAATTTGCGACCTCTCTATTTACAATTTGCGAACCAATGTTTTCTAGATTCAAATTCGCAATAATATTAGACTTAAAAAAACAGAGAAATATATAATTGCATTTCTCTATGCTCGTGATATAGGCATATGATGTTAACTGTAGCCTGCAGCCGTTGGCATCCAATATGAGACGACACTATATATACGTACGTATTTTATATCTTCCTCTCTCCAGCACAAAAATTACACAAACCTATCCGGCGTAGCCGAATTCTCTTTTTATCTCTATTCCGACACGAATCCGCAACGTGCACCACATGCATACGCGTATGTAAGTCGTAATATCGGCGCGGAACATTCGGCCTCGTTAACCCTCAACGATTGCAGCGCAAGAGCTGTAGATTACGATGATGCGGTCGAGATCAGCGAACCGGAAGTGTTCATCGCGCTGTCGAATTCACGACATCGGAAAGTAGTTCGAGTATATCCCGAAGATATATCGCAATCCGTTCCGCAAATATCTCGACCCGGAAATCGCATGTGTAAATATAAAACTTATGAGTTTCGAGGGAAAACCTGAGCAAATTTTTAACGTTTCACGAGATGTCATATACGGTACAATAATCTTTGAATATTTCCTGGAATTCTGTCATATCAATTAAGAGTTCTAATGCCGATAATATGTATAAAGAGTAATAAAGGTAACATTATTGTTGCGCTTGATCAAATCTTTATTAATCATTCGATTATTATGTTGTAATTTGCATTATTATTGATCATTTGCATCGCTTGCATGATTGCACTTTCACCGGCTTGAGAAAGTTGTTTACGTTCCGGGTGGCCCCAACGTCTTAAGAGAAATTCGAAATTCTATTCTATATTATATATATATATATATATATATATATATATATATATATATATATATATATATAGGTATTACTATTTCCAAAAATTATTTATATTTAATAATTTGTAAAATTAGTTTTTTTTAACTAGAGAATTTATTGGGAGGAAAAAAATTCGTGCACATGTTTACAAAATATGTAAATATTATTCTCATATCAACGGATGCAATAAACACATGTGTATCAAGCGGATGAGAAAAATGCGTGGTGTACACCGACAAAAATACGATGCGGATGCGGATATACTGCTGCTGACGTTTGGCACGTGTTATGAAACGGTATGGATTCGCTCTAATGCCTGGCCTTGCATAATTCTTGGCTATAAATCATACGAAAGTGGCGATCAATCGGACGCGGCGCGCTGATCGGCCAAGAATCCACTCGGAAATAATTTCAATGCGCTTGATAGCGCGTTATATCGCGGATCGTTACGGAAATCGGTGTCGATCAAAAGTTGAAAAGCCGTTTTTTGTGTCCATGATTTTAATTTTATTTAAAAATTTAAAGCAGCGATCTATAATATCAAGGATTTTTTTAAATAACTTGAAATTGCTAATTTGAAACTTTCAACAGAACTCTGTTGTAATAAATTGCAAATCCTTCTATAATCCTAAATCTATAAATATGTATGTAGAAAGCATAAATATATCAATATAGTCAAGAATAATTTTTAAATGTCCTGTTTTTCACTGCATAATTCTTTATAATAATAAATTTTTGTTCATCGCACGTGGATGATTCGATTACCAATGTTCTGTTTAACTTCACACTCACTTAACGCACATACTCGCTCAGAAATATCCTGTGCCGCACTTTGTCCCGGGGCTACGAGGGCCTTTTAAAGCGCACTTTTCCAGATAATTGTGGTTCCATTTGAGGCTTGCTTCGAGTATCCCCGTAAATTACAGACCGATCGCGCGCCAAAGGCGTACTTTCAAAAGTCTCGAATAACTGAGTCTTCAATGTCGTTCGTTGGCATACTAAATTAATTTGTAATAGGATAGCCCGCAAATACATGTTCGTCATAGAGTAGGAGCAACCGGATAGCTATCTGATGTTCGCAAGTCAAATGCGGAATATTAAAATTATTGATAGTATAAAAAGTAAAATAGCACATACCTATCGTTTCTTTTTTAAAAAATAAATTTCCCTCCCATGCTCTATTTTTATGTAAAAAAGTGTATATTTGCTATTCTTCTAAATAAGACATATTCTTGAATTAGCAAATGAAATTCAAGGATTTGCTATTCATAATTTTTTAATTTATATTTTTACTATTTTTCCTATTTTATTTTGTAATAAAACATTTTTTATATAAATATATCGCGTTTAAAATAAATCATTTTCTACATTTAAATATAAAAACTAAAGTGTCAAAAAAGAATTTGGCAAGAAAGGTCAATTCATCTACGATCGGATTTTTTTCAACCCCTTTGCGTAAAATCTCGTAGTCAAGCTCTCTTTAAAAAAATGATCAAAATCCGACGATTTCGCGTGTGTTACAGGTGTAACCGATCCAACAAAATACCGTCCGAATTCGAATCACATAACAAGTTTCCACGCGGCGGCCGGTTTCACGTTTTACCTTCCGAACGAGATGCTATACGTCGCCGTGACTTCGGCGGAACTCTGGTTCTACAAGGAACAGGTCGAAAACGATGATGAGCTCAAGCAGACTTTCGTTCTATCTGAGCTCGATCACTGGGATCTGGGCGGCAGCTTCGAAAAGAACACCGTCATGGCAATCTTCGAGACCGATATCGAAGGTGGGTAAATGTCGGATAGAATTTCCCTGCTTTTCTCAACCCCCATCGTCCATCAGTCACGAATTCACGTCGCATAGAAATCTTTCGCTACGAAATTTCGTTATCCCGCAACACTGCAAGCACTTGCGAATCAGTGCACAATTTCATCCCTTATCGAAAATTTGATACGAATGACAAAAAATAATCTTCTCATATCGCGGAACAATTTATAATATCTATAGTTACGAGATGCGATTGTTGAAATTAAATTAAAATTTTGCGGACATTTATTATTTGTGCGAAAATTTGTGCGACAAGATTTGAACGTCGCATTTAAAAATCGTGAGAAGCAAATAATGGATATAATATAAAGAGGAACATAAGAAAAAGAATTTATGACAATTATAACAGTTGGTTCCTATTATCTGTTGAAGATTGTTAAAGTTGTTATTTAGCCCTGGTATTAAGGACTTTAGACCGAGGAAACAATAAGCAAAAAAAACATTACACAAAACATTTATACATAGTGATATTGCTTTTTGCATCGTATAAGTAAATTATCACAAAGTAAATATGATTTATTATACTGAATGTCTGCGTAAATTAAAGAGATAGAAATTTCATTTTTCTTTTATAATAATTGACATAATTTAACACTTTGTACTAAATTTTATAATACTTTAATTAATTATTACTATGTAATATTTTTTAATAGTAATATTTAATTAATACTTTAATTAGTATTTTTTCAGTAAACTTCAAGTCTTCATTAGAAAAATATTATTTAATAATATTGAAAAAATGTCATTCAGCTTTCTAAAATAATTCAATAATTAATTAAAAAGTTCAAAAAAACCTCTATATTAGAACTCTTATTGAAAAAATTAAGCAGCTTTATTTTCCAAATTTTTTATAAGCAAATTTGTGATGTGCAATGAATTTCTTTGCAATTCGTCATGCAACCGTCAGCACATAAAATTTTATGAAGCCTGAATTTTTTTCTAGAAGGTTGGGTAAAGACGGACATAAAATTCATAGTGCAAAAATGGATAAATCGACACCGACTGAATCACGCCATTCAAATAACTTGCACCACCTGCTCAACCGTTCAGGATACTTCGCCGGTGTCCGTCGAGCAGACTCTGAAACCGTTCCTGGTAATTCATACAGCACCGTTGCCGCAGAGAAATAGGCTCAAGAGAAATTCGAATTGCCTGCCCCAGATGAAGGACTGTTGTCGAGACGATCTCTATATAAACTTTCGAGACATCGGCTGGAGCGACTGGATCTTACATCCAAGCGGATATCACGCATACTTTTGCCGAGGGTCCTGCTCCACAGCAGCATCTTTAACTAATAGCGCCTCACCTTATAACAACGTTATCAGGGTGAGTGTAATACTATCTTCCTCACAGTTTTGACAGTCGATCAAAAACTTCAATTAATAACGCTTAATCATGTAAATTTAATTTAAAATAATTTAACATAGTGGAGATGTTTTTCTCCAAACAGTACTAATGACTGACGACATTAATACGTCAAGTTGACTAGATTTAGTTAATTTAGTGATATTGTGTGTGAGTGATATATTTTTACAAATTTATACAATAATATTTTTACAAATTTAAATTTGTTGAACACAAGTACTTAAAATTCAAAATATTTATTTTGAAATTTTTTAAATAAAATCTATATGGAAAAAAATATTAATCCATCATAGCTAAATTTTAGCTGTCCCTATATATTATACCTAAAAAGTTATCATATACCTACTAATGGTAGTTAATATTTTTTAACTATAGTTAAACGGAGAATACTTCGTTAAACTATAGTTAAAAAATATTAGCTGCCATAGTTAAATTTAGGCATAATAACTAAGTGATAAATATAAGGCCAACTTATCGAGCTGAATATTCGAGATGTTCAGTCAACTACCATTTATTACATGTATAAATTATAAAACTACAGTCATTATATTAAAACTAACGCAAATTACAATCATTCTATAAACGTTTCGACCGCACGCGGTCTTCTTCAGTATAATTATTGAAATATAAATTCTTACAATTCACATAATATCGAAATTTAATTATAGTTATTCAGAATCAAGAGTTTTTGAGCAATTAACGCGTGTTTCAATCCGTCCTGTCCAACAATGTTCGCCTCGATATGATCCCTGATTTTGTTCAGATCTCGGATAGTTTCATCGTTAATATGCGAGAAATTAACCCGTTCCGTAGGCGCTGCGATTAATAAAAAATTACCGATCAACGTATGTCCAAATTATAATATGTATCCCCTACAATTGGTAGTATGCTTACCTATCATCGTTCTTCTTGACAATTTTGCTACTTATTAACAGTTATTAAGGATGACACATAACAAACCAACAATAAAGAAAGACAGCTTATTCTAAACTCTACTTGATCGGAGAGCGTGCGTGTTTATATATGATCTAATATCTATGTTTTACTCGTTAATGTCCTATTTGTCCTATTATTATTTCTTGTTCGCTAATATATCCAAAATATCAAAATACGACTCGCTAAGTAACTCAGTATCTTTGTTTAAATTTAGTCCATTTTTTTGTTCCTTGATATGTAGCATCTCAGAAATGAGTCTTTTATAATAATTATTTTCGTTGTCCATGATCTTAACATTGTCCCAATTAAAAGTATGATGTTCATTTATTATGTGTTCAGAAATTACTGAATGTTTCGTTGAGTCCAATCTAATATTATTTTTATGTTCTTTCATTCGCGTCTGCAATTGCCTCTTTGTTTGGCCTACATAAGATGCATTACAATTATTGCAACTGATCTTATAAACCACATTCGAATTGCATGGATGTTTAGTTTTATCTTTCTGCGCTTTAATAATATTATCCAGTTTGTTGAGACATCTATACCCTACCATACAATTTTTATTTTTTACCGAGGAAACAATCATTTCTGAGATCCCATCTATATACGGAATGACAAAGAATTTTTTATTGACCGAGTCATTTCCTATACTTTTTGTTCTTTCTATGTTGGCCTGTCTCTCTATAATGCTCCCCTTAGATATGATGTGTTCTATCCGATGATTAATTTTGTTAAAAATCAGATCAAGAGGGTAACCATTGCTTCTGAGTATATTAATAATTAACTCCAAATTTTTATTAAAAATAGTGGATGTGATAGCAATAGACATCTGTCTACAAGGTTATATATTATTCCAATTTTGTGGCATAATGGGTGGTTTGAATAAAATGATAACGTCCTTCCTGAGAAGGTTTCTTTTTGATACCAGTCTATATATATTTTGTTATTAATAATTTTAAGTGATAAATCTAAGAAATTCAAGCTATGGTTAACCTCTTGTTCGACCGTGAATTTAAGTCTTTCATGATAGTTGTTAAAATTATTCACAATCTGAGTCATATTAGTCATAGAGGTGGCCACTATTATGTCATCCACATAACGAAAATAAAACAAACATTCCAAATTCAACGCTTTGAGAACTGTATCCTCAAGATCTTGCATAACCAGGTCTGCAATAATTGGTGATAACGGTGACCCCATAGGGGTCCCAAACGTCTGTTTATAAATTATGTCATCAAATGTAAAATATGTAGAAGTCAATATGAATTTTATACCCCCCAAAAATTCGTTTTTCGGTATTTTAGTATTTATTCCAATGTAATCCCATCTATCGTTAATACCGTCAATCGCAAGATCCAGAGGAACGTTCGTAAACAAAGACACCACATCCAAGGAAAACATCCTATCATTCTCATCAATCTTTTTACCAGACAATATGCTGTACAAATCAAAACTATTATTAATATGACTTTTCGCTTTGGGTAGGCTAGTTCGTAAGGTGTTTTGTAAAAACGAAGCCAGCGAGTATAGAGCTGTATCAACCGATGAAACTATGATTCTAACTGGATAGTTTTCCTTATGGATTTTAGGTAATCCATACGCTTTTGGAAGGAAAAATAATATTAGATTGGACTCAACGAAACATTCAGTAATTTCTGAACACATAATAAATGAACATCATACTTTTAATTGGGACAATGTTAAGATCATGGACAACGAAAATAATTATTATAAAAGACTCATTTCTGAGATGCTACATATCAAGGAACAAAAAATGGACTAAATTTAAACAAAGATACTGAGTTACTTAGCGAGTCGTATTTTGATATTTTGGATATATTAGCGAACAAGAAATAATAATAGGACAAATAGGACATTAACGAGTAAAACATAGATATTAGATCATATATAAACACGCACGCTCTCCGATCAAGTAGAGTTTAGAATAAGCTGTCTTTCTTTATTGTTGGTTTGTTATGTGTCATCCTTAATAACTGTTAATAAGTAGCAAAATTGTCAAGAAGAACGATGATAGGTAAGCATACTACCAATTGTAGGGGATACATATTATAATTTGGACATACGTTGATCGGTAATTTTTTATTAATCGCAGCGCCTACGGAACGGGTTAATTTCTCGCATATTAACGATGAAACTATCCGAGATCTGAACAAAATCAGGGATCATATCGAGGCGAACATTGTTGGACAGGACGGATTGAAACACGCGTTAATTGCTCAAAAACTCTTGATTCTGAATAACTATAATTAAATTTCGATATTATGTGAATTGTAAGAATTTATATTTCAATAATTATACTGAAGAAGACCGCGTGCGGTCGAAACGTTTATAGAATGATTGTAATTTGCGTTAGTTTTAATATAATGACTGTAGTTTTATAATTTATACATGTAATAAATGGTAGTTGACTGAACATCTCGAATATTCAGCTCGATAAGTTGGCCTTATATTTATCACTTTGTTTTCAATATACGAGCGACAATTGTATTAATTTATTCATAATAACTAAATTTCAGATGTAGTTATAAGGATAGCTAAAATTTAAATATAATGATAGCTAATATTTTTTCCGTGTACTTGCTACATAAATCTATAAAAATATCGTCTTGTAGATATCGTTCTTTGTTTCTCTTATATTTTAACATTATTAACATATTTTTTCATCTTATAATATCGTTCAGTTCCTCTTATTATCATCAAAAATTGTTACTTAATTCTTGTCTGTATCAATACTCTTTACAATGATAAGAACTCTCGGATAGTAATTAGTTATGTGATTATGTTATTGCTTATTCTGTCCTATCTACATTGTTACAATTTGCGCTCATAATTGCTCCAAGAAACAAGAGAGAAAAGGGGAAAACTACCATGTTCTATGTTTAAATAACGTAGCAATCTTATCTCGCTCATGTCAGATCGTACGGAGCGCAGATGCGTAACAACCGATTATCGCGCTGCGGGAGAAAATGTGTCGTCGGTGTCGTCAGTGTGAGATTTATATTCGTTTTTTTATATTTTCTTTGCGAAAAGAGAAGTGGCACGTTGAGAAACGCTGACGGCGCGCGTCTCTCGCTATTTCGAAAATTACATGTCTCTTCGCATGCTCCTCCGCGGCTTCATCGCCGATCATATCGCATTACGTAAAACATATTGCCAATAATAAACATTGCTCATATGTCGAAACATCGCACTTATTAATTTTTCGATAATAATCTCGAAAGATAATAATTGTAGAATATTCCGCATTAATATATTTATTTCGCTTTATCGAGAAAATTATTTTAATATCTTACACCCCTTTTTATCTTAAATAGAATTTTATTTACAAATTGTATTTTTATGAGTAATAAAATAATGCTTGAACTAATCTAAAATGTTCTCATAATCTTTGTGTTTTTTTAATACGAAAATTTGCCATTAAAGAAAAGATAAATTTCGCACGTAGCTTTTATTATAATTCTCTATAAAAAATATTCACACCAAGCAAAATAATTCTTTTTCACGTCTCTTACGGCCAATTTATACTTTACTTAACGTAAAAAAAATATAATCGTGCTGCATAACCGCGTCCTTTATTACCCGCATTAATTGTTAATAAAAGTCGGGAGGAGGCACTCTTGTTATACTCGCTGCACATAACGTGGGTAATATAGTTTGCAACTCGTAACGATAATGGGGCGTTAAGACTCCATTATCACGCAACGTAAAACCCCATTAACTTACGTCTATGCTTTCTGCCATATACGAAGCGTGACGCGAGAAATATCGTTTGCATATGCGAAATGGAGATAATTTTCTTATATTCAGTCGCCCATAGATGACTGAGAAGAACGGTATTCGCTCTCTATTGCTTCCCATCCGTTCTCCTACTCGCTTATTCTCATAAAATGTCACATTATTAAAACACCGAGTACTACAAATGATTAAAATTTATTTCAATTTTGAAAATCAAACTTCTAATAACGAATCTTTTTGAATAAGAAAAATATTGATTATCAAATTTATTATTGCAAAAATTAAATAAAATTTGTAATTAATTTCAAGCAATTCTTAAAAACCTCTCTTAAATGAGCAGCTGTATATCTTAATTATATTCATATTTTTTCTGATTTATCAATGAAATTATTTTATTCTATAAAAAAATTATATTAAAAAACATTCAAAAACAAAAAAAAAATAAAATAATTCTAATCTTTTCATCATATTTATGTGTTCTATAAAAATATTTGTTATTATAATTTTAAGTCTATTTCCACGTAGTTTGATTAAATTTGACCTAAAAAGTCATTTGGAAAAATCGCGTATGAATGACATAAAATCATTCCACTCACAATCCTCACAAATGATTAAAAAATGTCACTTTTTCTTACAGGGGTTGTTAACCAAAGATGGGATCCAGCAGAGGAGCAAAATAGTGCCGTGCTGTTCGCCAACGCAGCTCGCCCCGCTTCAAATGGTGTACATTGACAGGAACAATACGATCACCCAGAAAACATTGCCGAACATGGTGGTGGAGGCTTGCGGTTGCATGTAATGCCACACTGTCCCAAAGGTGGACAGAGTGACGAACTAGTTAGTTACCCTCGGTGACGAGAAGACGAAGGACGAGACGATTGACCGACCTCACGCCACCTTGTATCAAGAGATTCCTGTTTGCGCTTAATCACCGTGAGTCTGAACTTTCGCCGAGGTGTTTGCAAAATCCGTCCGTCTCGTTTCAAAGAGATCGGTCGTGCGAAAGCGTACGAAAACGATGATCGACTCCCTGAGATACCACGGCGGTAATAAGGGCACGCTATCGTCACGTCACGCGAGCTCACTCGCTTTATGTATGTTATATTATACGTATATAAGTAGATAAAATTATCACTGATCTATGTGAATCTTTTAATCTTTATAATTGAAGCTTTTCAATTGTCAATTGATTTATATTGCTTAGTAGAGCATATTAATCATTTATTCATCTATGAATTATATATGCATAAAATAATGCATAATTTTTATATGCGAATCGCCGGATAAAAAGCACAATATATCATAAATTTCAGTAAAATGCTTTATCTGCTTCGAACGGTTCGAATCTAACAAATTGTAGTAAATGGATATATAATAGCCGTACTATATTCTTGTCCGTTCGATAACATAAATAGGACAAAACATGAGCTTACGTGACGCAACAACAGTACGTCCGTACGTGAAATCTCGTCCTTAGGTTGATTGCCCGAACCGCGAAATCGACTCGAGCGAGCACTCGCGGTGCCATGGGAAATTAAGGCGTAAATTAAGGCGAGCCGAATCGTGGAGAGAGAGCTCGTTACGTATTTTAGCGTAGATACCGACACCCCCGCGTATGCCCGCTGTACGTTTACAAGGTCGATAGAGAGAGAGAGAGAGAGAGAGAGAGAGAGAGAGAGAGAGAGAGACCCTTCGGGCAATTTCGACAACGAACTTTACCCCGTCGCGTCTGACTATGTAAGGCCGTTTCTACTGTTTCCATTGCAAATCTCCGTCGAGAACCTTCTAGCGAATGTAGAGAGCCCACGGTTACATCCTGACAAATTGCTTTCCAGTGTAATGCGGTATACGAATCTAATTTAATTTTTTGTAGAAAAAATTATGAGAAGAGAGCGATTTTTTGCAGTGAAATATCTTCCAGCTCGGTTGCTCATCTGACTGACAAGCAACATCCTTTATCTTTTATCTTCAGTTTCAAGTTATCGTCACATATTTTGAGACATTATGATATAAATAATATCTTATAAAGAATATTATTTTATATAGATATTGTTGAAAATAATTTTATATATAGATATTGTTGAAAATGAATAGTCTGATGAATTAATTTAGCCAGCTAAGTTAATTGACTCAAATACTTTTAACATTTCGATCCCAAAAGACTGTAAAGAAAATCTTTCGCACGTCAATTTCTGCCCTCAGAAAATTGCAAAACTTAAGATGTACCTGTATGTCTCGAAAGTGACAATAATTTTGAACTGATAAGACAACAACGCACTATAAGCTGTATACAGTATTTTCTTCGAAAAATTATCCAATGCACAATTTGAAAACCATATCAAGCCCGATATGTATTTAGAATTGTATTTGCTATTTAGCTACATAATGACACATATATTCGTAAAATTTATTTATTGCTAAGATTTTTAACATCATCGCCTTATCGTCGGCGATTGGCTCGCGGGCACGATTGCAGCAAGCAATAAAATGCAATAAAATGCAATAGCGATTATTCTAGAGATAAATATGCGGCATAATATTGATAAGTATATTATTAAACGACAGGCTATAAGCGTCGACTGTAGTTGACACGCCAAGATAAACGACGAGAGACTTGTCGAAAGCTTCCGGAGTAATAAAAGACGGTCCGATATTATCGATATACTCGTTCTTTCTTCATAAAATCTTACAGCTCGCATACGGAGCGTGAAATAAGTACGCGAAAAATAAATTGATTCCTTCCGCGATGTCGTTCAAGTATACAAAAAGCAGGAAGGTGGACTTTTTTTTCTTTTATATTTCAATCTTCACGAATCACCAACTCACTTTAATTAATCTTAATTTAATGAAAAAATGTCGAATTAATAAAGATCTTACAAATAATTAAAAATTTTAATTTTTCTCTCTATAAGATTATATTGAGATATTATTTGTATTACGTGTGATGAACTTTTTCACTAGATATAATTATGATTATAAGTGAATAAGTATGTAAATAATGTATTATCAAATTTGTAATATTTGTAACATTTTAATTGAGTTCACTCACGCATGATTTAATATCATGATATGCGAAATAAAAAAAATATTAGTATACAAGTTGTATTCTCTGTGTATGCAATAGTTGTATGATATACGTCACAACTGGGATCTGTTGAGCGTCGAAATAAGTCGCGTTCAAACTCACGTCACACATTTTTCAGCCACGCCCGAAAGCCCGGCTAGGGAGAGAATTCATCGGAGGCGGATGAGGGCAAAAACTGTGGACGAACTTCCGCGCGGCTTCGAGAGTGGATTAGCGAGTTCTTTTCAAAAAATACATTTCGCGTTTCCTCCCCTCCCCCGTCCCCTTACCCCTCTGGCGTAACGCTCGATAAACCTTTCCCGAGTAAATCCATCTCGCCCGGTTTCTCCCTCGGCGCCATGTAAATATATCATTCGTGTTTTGCTGTACGCGGTGCCACGTCTCTGCAAATGAATTTCCTGGAGCGCTTCCTTCCTCCGTCCGGGAGACAGACATAGAAATGGTAACGAGGAGAGAAGGAGAAAGAGAAAGAGGAAACGAAAAGTGGAAGAAATAGAGAGAGAAAGAGGCAAGTGAGGAGAGGACGGCTACGAGTGAAGAGAGACGGAATAGGAAGTGGAAAAGAAAACAAGTACCAGACAGAAAGCGAGACAATGGGTGGCACTGTACCGCGAGATCGAAACCGCGTGAGTATGTCCTTTAGAGACATTAAATGCAACAGGGAAGTAATAGTTACCGCGACTCTGCACGAAACAAGTGTATGTCTTTGGTGACAGCAACGAGATAATGTAATCTTTATTTATACCGAATCTCCCTGGCTTTCGTTTTGCTCTCGTATCGAATTCTCGTTATTCATTAAGGATAGCTTTTTATCTTTATGATCCCAAACGGAAATCATAATATTACTGTCATAAATAATACATTTTTCTCTTCTCTTTATACTTCCAAAAATATACACATATATACATAAAATACATATATATATATATATATATTTTTTTAGAAGTATTTTGATTAATATATATTAATTTTATATTCTAAAATATTTTTAAATTTTTATAAAAATAAGATTGTATGTACTTTGTATTATATACTTAAATATATATATATATATATATATATATATTGGAAGTATAAAGTATACAAAGTACAATCATATTTTTTAAAAAATCAAAAGAAATATTTTAGAAACAAATAAGTTAATATTTATTAGACAAAATAGATGTATATACTGTCATTAAAAATTATGAGATTAAATGCAATGTGTTATTAATTTGTAATACATTTTTAATTAATGAGTAGAGGCAATGATTAACTCTAATGCTCGGGATTATTAAGTAAATAGAAATGACGTCTGTAATGAGTCGACATATCAGACGATAGAAGAAAGATATCGTTTTCACATCACAGATTTACCACGGAATATGCATGGCTTTCTTCAATATGCATAGTCAATAGTTAATAGTTTATAGTTAATATGTCAGTAGTTATAATATGTATTAAGTCAAGATACTTAAAAAAAATATACATGTATGTGCACATATATTTTTTTGAAAACATTCTAACTAATACATATTAACACATTATATTTTAAAATATTTCTTTTAATTTTTTTAAAAATAAGATTGTATTTTGTATTATACTTTATACTTAATATATATATATATATATATATATATATATATATATATATATTGGAAACATAAAGCATACAAAGTACAATCTTATTTCTTGAAAAATGAAAAGAAATATTTTAGAATACAAAATTAATATATGTTAGTTAAAATAGATATATGTATATTGGCATTAATAATCTTGCAAAAATTGTAAGATTAAACGCAAATGTCTTATTTATTTGTAATACATTTATAATTAATGAGTAGAGGCATTGATCAACTATAATGCTCAGGATTATTAAGTAAATAGAAATGACGTATACATATAATGAGTCGACATGTCACATGATATAAGAAAAATATTATTTTTACAGATTTACCATGGAATACGCATGGCTTGTTTTAAATTTTTGTGCACGCATTTTTTTATAAAGAATATTTAGTATATCTTACCTTTTTGTGCTTGTATCTTTTTATAAAAAATATTCAGTATATCTTACCTTTTTGGACACGCATTTTTATAAAAAATATTTAGTGTATTTTGCTTTTCTTGTTAAATATGCAGTAAAATTGTAGACAAAGATTCATACAATATATATATATATATATTGACTAACATATATATCGAGCGAATTATTGTATTTTAGTAGTGCTTTCACACACATCGTATTATAAATTATATAATTTCTTTACACAATTTTTAACTCTAATGTAAATTAATGTGAATAACACACATAACGCGTGCATAAAAAACTCTTTAACTAGTGAAATAATTCGTGAAATTCCATATTATATTTGTGTTTGCAATTATTATTCATTATAAATTAAAGCAATTAATATAATTCTGTGTGACTTTAAATTGAATAATAATAGAATTAGATATAAAATAAAATTTATTCTCTAAATATAAATGTTTTATTAAAAATTTTTAATATTATTCTTTGCTTTAGAAGATATGTATGAATTTATAATATAACGACATTATAACAGAGTTGCAGAAAGACTTCAAAATTAATAGGACATCAGTATTTTCAAAGAGAAGTTAATAATATTTTAAATTACGAGATTTTTTTCTATGTTTCATACTTCATAGAACGACATTGTTTATTTTAACTCGAAGAAGAAGGAGAAAAGAAAAGGAAGAAAAAGTTTTATATGTCCGCATGATACTTTTTATCTCGTTATACATATAGTTGACGAGAATTATATTCATCATTCTGTTCTACATGGGCCCGATCGATATATACTTCGCTCAAGACGAATCCGGCGTCCAGCCAGGTTTTGTTACGGTACTACAATATTTATTCGCTCGCGTTGGCAGTCGTAGCCGGTTAACGCGCGTTTCCCGCACGATAACGAGTTTAACGTTACGTGACGTCGCCTCGCCGCGAATTAATTGCGTCCGCACGAGCGCGCGAGTGCAATGGTAATTTCGATCGCTGCCGCTGCTACTGCACTTCGCCTGTCAATCAATCGTGCGGAATTGCGGCCGGTGAACGTATTCGTATATATATAGATGTATATGTGCGCCTGTATATATACATGCGCGAGTGCGCTATACCGTCCGCGTATTCCGTATTATTTCGCTCCAAAGTCCGGCGATTACTTTAATTAAGCATTTACTGATTGCGGCGGAAAAATGAAAATAATGCACCGCCGATAAAGCACTGATGACATGCGAAAGGGCTGTATCGTAACATCGTGTGACCTTTTTACTCGACAGCTATATCTTGAAAGCTATACTTTAATTCGCAACTGATATAATGTAAGAAGAAGTGCAAGTAATAATAATTAAATACGAGTTTCGTTGCAAAAACAATATTCTGAATTGAAAAAAAAGCAGAGCAATGTTTACGTTTGCAGAATTGCTGTGAATTTTTTAAATTTTATTTTATAAGAATTTAGAGTTTCTTGTAAAGTATATAAATAATTAAGAAAATACTGTCATGTAGTTATCTTTTGAAACATATTAAATCTGTTAAAAAGTAAAATATATTATACATAAACGATGAAAAACTTTTTAAAATAAACAAATTAAAAATTAGTAATTAAAGGCTCTTAGCAAATTAAATTTGAAAACATTGTGCACAACTATAATAATTAATTTCTAGATTAATTTCTAATGTAATTTTTATTTTCAGAAATATAATTAAAAGCTCATTTATCAAAATATTTTAAATTCTGAAAAAAGTATCTGATCAAAAACATTCAATTAAAATATAATATTCCTCATGTTTAATATTATAATATTAACGACAAATGAGATAAAAATATTGTAGTACCGTAACGCAATAAAAATGATTGTTGAGTTTAAATAACCCCTCGGTTAAATATGTATGTTGCAAATTATTGCTTCAAAATTAATTTAAAAGTTGAAAATTGTGATGTAAATTTTAATCAAGGACGAAACTAATGAAACTATTTTAATTATTTTATTAATAACTGATATTAATTATCTCATAAGAATAATTATATTAAAATTTAATTATTTTTTGATTTTTAAAATGGAATATTTTAATTTCTCGATAACGAAGGATTCTCTCTTTCTCTTTTTTTCTCAATTTAACCATTATTATAATAAATTTAAAAATATTTTTTTACTCACTTATTCTTGCACTCACCAATTTCGTAGAGGGAATCAACCACATATATATACTCGGACGCCATTTTCTTATCCCGCCAATTTGCATATCCCAATATTTGCACGCAATCTATATACATCACAAAAAGATACATTATTATATATTATATATATTCGACATGAGAATGATATTTTTCTCAGAAACATTGAAAGGCAAAAATATAGTCTGTGTATTCTGTGTGATTTTATCATAAATTTTTCGCCTACATGTTATATATACTCATACACAATATTCATATATGTGTGTGTGTGTGAGTATGTGTGTGTGTACGGTTATGATCACCTCTTCCTTACACATATATACTACATAAATAATAAATTCACCCATAATACATATGATATAATGATGTGTAATGTGATATAATCTAATAATATATGTAACATCGGCAATAAATAAGGCAGTTGCAGCTTCTTTATATGCGAATGAAACGAAAGATCGACGAATTCGCCGTCGAAAAGAATGCATATTTCAATCGCTCAGTTTATACATAAAAATGCGATCACACTCATTTCTATTCATTTAATTACCTTCAGACGTGAAAGATCTTCATTATTTTCGTCTCATCGCCGGATTTCGACGTCGATTTACACAGATTCGCACAGATTTAATTCGGATACGATTTCACTTCACCTACGCGCACCATTCTGGTTCACCGTTTCACCGTTTCACCCTTTCTGGTTCAAATTCAGCACTGCGTGAGTCAAATAAGCGTTGATAGGTCGATAGTCGATACCACGTGAGTCGAACGTCATTGCCAACATGGCGGGCAACATGAAATTGTACTTAACCTAAATATAGTAAATATGATCGATAGATTTTTCGTCGACGAGATTCCGTAACTTTCATACGCGATAATGATTTTGCATAAACGAGTTTTCTCGAACAAAACGTGTCTTAGATCGAGGTTAGCACGATTTTCGCGATAATTTCGCGTCTGTGATCCAGTGTAAAATGACAACTTATGCTTAACCTCAACATGTTGTCAGAGGTTGATGTATTTATCAGTAATTATACTCTAGTTGATCCTGAAATCTATCAGCTTTGGGTTGACGGTCATTCTTGTGAGTAGAAATATAATCTAATTTATTTACTTTTTTGCATAAAAAATGAGAACTATTAATATTAATATTATTACAAATGTTTTTTTTAGCCAGCGAAGCAGTCAATATTCTGAATCAACGAGGAATATGTCAACAAACTAATGCACCGCTTGAGCTGGTCGCATCTGACATACTTGATCACTATCGCACCTATGCTTTACTTGAGAAATTACTTCATACCCCTACTAAGCTTGCCAGCGAACAGCTGGCCTTTCAGATAGAACCTCAAACTAGTCAAATGCTTATAGAAATGTAAGACTGAAAGAATGATGAAAACTATTGATCATAAAATTGGAATTTGTAATTAATTCCTCTTGCGAGACACTGATTAATTATTATTCATTTCAGGTACTATGAATTTGATGATATTGTTATACGTGAATTATTGGGAAAGAAAATAACATCCAAGAGTAGAAAAGATATGGACGAAGTGTCAGAGAAGACAGGGATTACATTGAAGAGTTGTCGACGACAATATGATAATGTGAAAAGAGTGTTTAAAATTGTCGAAGACTTACCAGGTTCTCTTTCAACCAATATCAAACAACATTTCTTACTTTCGGAGGATCTTGCTAAGTATGCAATATTCTTTATAATATCTATAATATTTGTAGTAATAAAATGATTGAATTATAATATATAATAATAATAATTATAATTAACTATTTTTTTTTTTATATACAGACGATATGCTGCAGTAGTATTTATAGCATGTCTGCGGTTTGAAATGAATAAAAGAAAACTACAATTTTTGACATTTCCTGATTTATATCATTGTGCTAACAGTATGATGGCATCATGGACGTATCGTTGTGTTGGATCTGAATACTTCGATACAGATTTGGATAGAGAATTTCTACAGGAATTATCAGAATGTAGAGTTCTTTTAGAAAATGATAAACATCATAAACAGTATGTTGAATTCTATAAAAATTGAGATTTATCGAGATAATGATTTCATTCATCTATCAATAAAATTACAACAATATATCAAAACTTTGACATTTTAGTCTGGTATGCCTCAAGCTCAAACCAATGCTTCTCGATCGATCTTATCAAGAAGTAGACATGAACTTTCGTTCGTATTCGAGAGCGATACTCGGAATTGGATGCAACTTGCACAGATCACGAGAGTTAAGATTTTTCTTTTTGGAACTAGTGGAGAGATGCATCGAACCTTGGCGACAAGTCAATTGGACGCATTCCGATCTACGAAATTTCTTGGCTGTTTACACACAGTGTGCTCTTGATATGGATGTACTTAGGTAAGTATTAGAGAAGTAGTATATAGCAACAATAAATATAAGCTTAATATTACAAATTTCAAAAATTCAATTTCTCTATCTAGAGAAGGAGAACTGAGAGATGCGTTTGAACGTTATATGACAGTAGTGACATGCTGCTTATTACGTATGTATCATACATGAATATCAATGTAAAAATTATATATATATATAAAAGGTATAAATATAAATTATATAAAGACGGAATTTCTAAATTTTAATTTATTAATTTTCTGTAATAAATAATTAAACAAATGCAGCACCTCTATGCTGCTTATAATTTTGCAGTCAAATATATGTGGGCAATAACGCATATAACTGCAGTAATTGCACTATCAACATTTTCTTATAAGTTATTTTCATTAATGTGTGATGTGAAACTCTATGTGAAAAAGGGCAGCTTAGATATATGGATATATATATATATATATATATATATATATATATATGTATATATATTTATATATGGCAGTAGATTATAATATTGCGCGCATATATTCTTTAAATAAAAGATAATTTTAATTTACTAAAACGTGACTCAAATAAAATAGAACTTTTGAATGCATCTGTACATAATTTTACGTAATTTGATAAAATATTGCTAACTACTAGTACGTATTTACACATATAATTGTAATTGATATCACATATTCTATCTATTCATGACATGTATAGAGAATACATATCTTGCGCATTAATGTGAAGAGGTATGTATGTACATTTGCTTGAACTTCATTTATACATTGTAATAAATGTACAAATGCTCCCTTTTCCTAAAAATTTACTTTCTTGTAAGAGTTCCATGATTAAAACTTATAAGGAAATGTTTTTCAAATTCTATCTGGCGGTGATAGAGTATTATGTAATATCTTCACAGAACTTGTTTGTACTTATTTACCTCTTCTCTTAATTTACATCTCTCTGTGTATTTATTCTATTATTGTATTGATCAATGATTGACCAAAAATAGGATATACCAGATAGAAAAACAGTGAACCGGAAGGAAAACCACAATGTGTTAGGAAAATCATAGAAATATAGCAATTTCACCTAAGTACTTGCATACCGTTGCGATTACTGCGTGACTCCTAATACTTTGTTAACAGCATTCACTATGTCTTTGACCTGTGGCAGAGCCGCTATCTCCAGGGTTTTTGCGTATGGCATTGGCGTGTCTACTCCCGTAATGCGAATTACGGGTGCATCGAGATGATAAAAAGCTTCACCTGAAAGAAAAAATTAATTTGTTGAACGAATAAGGAAAATGTTACCATCAAGAACACGGAATAAATTATGAATCGACAAGAATGAACTGCTAAAGCCAACCATCTTCATTTATGAATGATCAGTTATTTGCCATTTAAATCTGTCTCCAATTTTAACTGTCTTTTTTGTCTCACGATTGATATTCTCAATATAAGGAAAATATTTCGCAATAATCGAACGAAACTTACTTTCGGCGATTCTTGCGCTAACTTCTGCACCGATACCACAGTGCGGCCAGCCTTGTTCGACAGTCAACAAATGTTTCGTCTTCATCACAGATTGTATGATAGTATTTGTGTCCAACGGCCTGAGAGAACGAAGATTTATCACCTCGGCTTCGATTCCTTTCCCGGCAAGTTCATTAGCCGCTTCGAGGGATTCTTCTACAGCCTTGGAATGTGCCACCAACGTCACGTGATTGCCCACTCGCTCCACCTTCGCCTTGCCAATGGGCAAGACAAAATCCTTAGATAAAGCTTCATCAGACATGGGATACTGTACACCATACAGTATCTCATTCTCGAGTACTACCACCGGATCTGGATCTCGGATAGCTGCCTTCAGCAGACCTTTAGCATCTTCGCTGTTGTAAGGTGATACTACCTTCAAACCAGGACAATGACTATACCAAGCACCAAAACATTGTGAATGCTGTGCCCCAACACCAGCAGCAGCACCATTGGGACCACGAAACACTATTGGCACATTGACTCTACCTGCAGACATATAAAACGTCTTGGCAGCAGAGTTGATGATATGATCGATCGCTTGCATCGAGAAATTAAATGTCATGAATTCACAGACCGGTCGCAGGCCAGCCTGAAAAATATTACTTATGTTAATTGGATAAAGTAATAAGAAAAAAATGTAATATTAATATGATGAGCTGTAAACGCACCATTGCAGCTCCAACTGCAATACCAGCAAAACCAGCTTCTGTAATTGGTGTGTCAATGACACGTTTGTCTCCGTACTTCTTCCAAAGACCACGAGAGACCTTGTAAGCACCATCGTATAAAGCAACTTCTTCACCAAGAAGGAACACCTTCTCGTCCTTCTCCATCTCCTCATCCAGGGCTGAGTTCAAAGCATCTCGCACAGTCATCTAAGATATTTATAAGAATTTCCATAAAAGAATACTGAATCACAAGTAAATGACCTTTCATGTCCTTCAAATTTTCATTTTAACAAATAATCATAAATGAGTAAAATAATTAAACTGAGAAGAATGGAACGAAAGTAACTATTGATCAATGCAAAAATATCAGTGAAAACTATCATATCTTTACAATATATTGAGAAAACCGTGATTTTAGGTTAGTTTAACAGTAGAAAATAAATCACCTGCTGTGCTGCTGCCCATTTTGAAGTGGAGAACGAGCGACGAACGACGGTTCTTACGACAGTCTGAAAACAAAAAAACTATCATCATTTCAAAATTAAAATTTTCTATTTCTTTTGTTTTTTTGCTTTTTGTTTCCTCTTATTTATTCTTTTTTTTCACATAAATCGCAACGTTTTGTTCCACACTTGCAGTAGTTGCTCAATATTTTCTATCCTCCCATACAAGATTTATTTATAACAAAACAGAATTAGACAAGATAGAAAAAAGACTGCGAAGAAACGTGGAAGAGAACACAATAAATTACGACAGATGGTTCTTCACAGAGCTTTAAAGTGCTTTGCAAAGCTCTTACCGTGAGCATGTTATAGGCCGTTGACGAGTACGAATACGATTTTTCGGAAGGATTTTCTCGGGGACGATCTCTCTTCTTCGGAGAACGACTCGAGTTTGGAGTCTCCTCGTCCTGCACTAACGAAATCAAGGACACGAGTCCGGCACTGTTATGACACAGATTAATAGACAGATCGCCAAAGGTCTGGATGAAGGAGAGACCAGCATTTCTCACTGATTTCAGCGCCATATCGTAGTAGTAGTCAATGCAGTAACTATTAATACGTTCCCAAGATAAGAGCGTCTCATGCTCATGAACTCGTCCGGCGGCATGTACGAGATTTATCTTTTCGTAGCGTTCGCGTATTTCGGAAAGGACAGAATTTTATGATGTTATAAATAAATAAATAAATAAAATATAACCTGACCTATTATAATTATTTTTTAATAAATGTTTCATTATTATTATCATCTAAGTCTAAGTCGTTTAATTAATTTTTAGTTTTTAATAATTAATTTAATTTAGTTCTAATCATTTTAATATGTGAAAAATACTAATACGTATACGTTTTATAATGAATTAATATATTTCGAGAGTCGAATTATATATTTTAATAATATAAAAGTGTTCAAAAATTATATTGACTTTTAATTTTAATTATTTAAAAGAGTTCCGAAATCTCTTACACACATAATAGAGATTTTGTTCATCCATATAATTCGCAATTAAGTAATATGTTAATTATTTAATTTTAATAAAATACAAAATAAAATAAAGGTCAATATAATTTTTTGAACATAAATATATTTATAACGTATAAGACGGGCAACAAAGCCAAATCGCGGAGACAATGCGTTATCCTAACGGAACTAATAATTTTTCGTATTAAATAAATACCGGTGCACAAGCACCAAATTTTTACTTGGACACGGCCAAGATTTTAAATATGAAATAATCTCATATTTTGAGATTTAATTTCAATACCCTTAACCCCCTACGGAAAATAATAAATGAATGCAAGAGAAAAATATAGATCCGAAAATCGTTGAATCGGGAATCGAACCCGAGACCTTTCGCTCTCGTTCGATTCCCGATTCAACGAATTTCGGATCTATATTTTTTTCTCTTGCATTCATTTATTTATTTTCCGTAGGGGGTTAAAGGGGTATTGAAATTAAATCTCAAAATATGAGATTATTTCATATTTAAAATATTGGCCGTGTCCAATTAAATTTTTGCCTTGTGCAATTTTATTTAATTCTAACGAAAATTTTATTAGTTCCGTTAGATAACGCATTGTCATCCGCGATGATGCTGCTTGTTGCCCGTCTTATACTTAAATTTATATTTATATTACAAGCCAAATAAATTTTATAAATATATTTAATTCGTTATAAAACGTATACCCGTGATAGTATTTTTCTCGTACAAAAATAACTAGAACAAATTAAATTACTCATAAAAAATTAAAAAATAATTAAATAATTTATATTATATATGATAATAATAAAACATTTTATAAAAAAACAGATTCAATAAATATAAGTATATATATAACATGTACTTATATTTATTGAATCTGTTTTTTAATAAAATGTTTTAAAGCTTAGAAAACTTGACTTTGACGTAACTAGCAAATTTTATTTAATTATTTCACGACGGTTTGACGTAATAAAATGTTTTATTATTATTATATAAAATATAAGTTTAAATTCTTTAATTAATTTTTAATCTTTTATGATTAATTTAATTTACTCTAATTATTTTTGTACGAGAAAAATACTATCATGGGTATACGTTTTATAATTAATTTAATATATTTGTGTTTAAAAATTATATTTGACCTTTAATTTTATTTTTATTTTATTAAAATTAATAATTAACATATATACTTAATTGCGAATTATATGGATGAAAAAAATCCCCATTATGTGTGTAAGAGATTTCGGAACTCTTTGCTATAAAATAATTAAAATTAAAAGTCAAATATAATTTTTGAACACTTTTATATTATTAAGAATATATAATTCGGTTCCCGAAATATATTAATTCATTATAAAACGTATACGTGATATTATTTTTCTCATATAAAAATGACTAGAATAAATTAAATTAATTATTAAAAAACTAAAAAGTAATTAAACGACTTAGACTTAGATGATAATAATAATGAAACATTTTATTAAAAAAGATTCAATAACTAGTAGGTCAGGTTATAATTTTTATTTATTTATTTATAACATTATGAGCTATTAAGCTCATCATCTCGTTCGCTCTCTGTCTTGCTTTCATTCGGCAAGTCACAAACGATATATGATACTCGTATGTTCCTACTTCAACTCTCGAGAATCTGAAACAAACGAAACTCGTGTCCAATATACAGGGTGTCCGGTAACTAACAGACCAATGATTACAAATGGATTCTTTGGTCAATTTGGGAACGATTTTTCCTCAGCGAAAATGTCGAAAAAGGTCATCATTTTTTACAACTTTCCAATCTTTGTCATTATGTATCTTTATAACTAAGCCTTAAATTAAAATTTTATTATAGTAAACTCTACCTGAAATTAACTGAAGAATGTAATTATGTTAGACTTTTAACTCCAAAACGTTTAGTTTTCAAAAAACCTATTTTTTTCAATCGCTTATAACTCGAAAATTATTGACTTCTCAACATTTTTGCTAAGGAAAAATCGTCTCCAAATTGGCCAGAGAATCCGCCCTTAATCATTGGTCCGTTAGTTACCGGACACCTTGTATATATTATATAAAAGTGTATAGCACGTCAGAAGCTTGTGAGCTTACAGCGATAAGTAAAAACAATTGCGTATTTATTTCATTGCGTTTATCTGTTTAAACGCGCGCTTTAATTTTTCCAACGTTTTTGCCTGTTTATATTTTAAAGGTCCTCTCTTCTAAAAATCTTGTTTTAAAGATCCTCTCCGCGAGCAAAATTCGAAAACATAAATTATTTAATATTTTTACTTTATTATTTGTAAATCCTCGGTAATTTCAAAATTTTTCTATTTGAAAATTATTAATTTTCTATTGCCAATTAATTTTATCACAGACTTTACTCTTACTCCCATTGCACTTTCGTTTGCGGTTTTCAGTATACGATTTTTTATCGTAGTTACTGAAAATTATTATTGTGAATTATACTTGTGCAGTGATTTGAAGAATTTACAATTTCGTTGAAATTGTTGATTTTTCAAAAAAATTACGAGATTCGCGGAAATTGCGTGCTTTCTTGGCATTTTCCGTTCGCGGCAGGCGGTTTATTTTTGATTGTTGCAAGTGTTTTTGTTTTTTTTTATTAAAATAGATAATAATAATGTGAAATAAATCACGATATTTGACAGATGTGCATATATATAGAAATTGTAATAATAATAATATTATATCATAAAATTGTAAATTGTTTCAATTTTTTATAGACTGCGATAAAAGATTTTACATTTGGATAAGAAACTGCGGTAAGTAAAAATATAAAATTCTTGAAAACGTAAAAATATTTGATAACGTAAAAAGGTGAACTTTGAAAAATAAGGAACTTAAAAATTGCACTAATAAATGGGCTATATATATGTGAGCCGTGCGCGGATGTAAGGTGTGTTATATCGAAATTTAATTAATAGAATTGAGAATTAATCCCAATTTTAAGTCTTACAAATGTCCAAGCTAATTTTTTGTACCTCGTGTACATTTTTGAAAGTTATATCGAAAAATTAAATTTCAATATGCGTCTTACATCTCACATTTCGCATACGGCTCACATATAGCCTATTTATCTCTTATACTTTATTTCAACCCTTATAGAAATTTATTACTAGTAACGCCAATTTATCACTTATTTCGAGTAATTAATCACTTTTATTTCGAATACTTAAATTACTGTATATTATAGTATTTTAAATACTCAAATAAGTGATTAATTGGCGTAGTGATAAATTTCTACAAGAGAATAAGGAGCCTTTAAATTCTTAATGTAAAAAATTTCAAGTAATTTTCTTTAATAAAATTTAATTAAAAAATTTAATTAAAAAATTTTTGAACACTGTGTTATATCACATTTAAAATCGTGATTATTTCAATAAAAAAACATTTTATGTGTAAAAAATATATTTTTATATTTAATAAATTTTATATATATATGCATATATGTAAAATATTCTCTCTCTCTCTCTCTCTCTCTCTCTCTCACACACACACACACACACACACACACAACGGGGGCCAAATCTCTCAAATTGGTCTCATGATCAATTAGCCTGGATTCGCACCAGGGGCAAAGTCTGTTGGTAATGTCAAACGAATTTAGCCTGGACTTGCACCAGGGGCAAAGTCTTTTGGTCGAGTCTACGAAATTTAGCACGGACTCGAACCAGGGGCAAAGTCTTTTGGTTCAAGTCTACGAATTTAGCACGGACTCGAACCAGGGGCAAAGTGTGTCGGTAAGGGGCAAAGTCTATCGCACGAAGATGGCGGTCTCTTCTTTAGGCAGGCCTTTGGCGATCTGTCTATTAATCTGTGTCTGTGGTTATGAAAACGTCGTGGCCGTCCGAAACGACGATTGGCGCGTCGATTCACGAACTATATGCTAATGACCACAGATTAATAGACAGATCGCCAAAGGCCTGCCTAAAGAAGAGACCGCCATCTTCGTGCGATAGACTTTGCCCCTTACCGACACACTTTGCCCCTGGTTCGAGTCCGTGCTAAATTTCGTAGACTTGAACCAAAAGACTTTGCCCCTGGTTCGAGTCCGTGCTAAATTTCGTAGACTCGACCAAAAGACTTTGCCCCTGGTGCAAGTCCAGGCTAAATTCGTTTGACATTACCAACAGACTTTGCCCCTGGTGCGAATCCAGGCTAATTGATCATGAGACCAATTTGAGAGATTTGGCCCCCGTTGTGTGTGTGTGTGTGTGTGTGTGAGAGAGAGAGAGAGAGAGAGAGAGAGAGAGAGAGAATATTTTACATATATGCATATATATATAAAATTTATTAAATATAAAAAATATATTTTTTACACATAAAATGTTTTTTTATTGAAATAATCACGATTTTAAATGTGATATAACACAGTGTTCAAAATTTTTTAATTAAATTTTTTAATTAAATTTTATTAAAGAAAATTACTTGAAATTTTTTACATTAAGAATTTAAAGGCTCCTTATTCTCTTGTAGAAATTTATCACTACGCCAATTAATCACTTATTT